ATTGGATGCCGATTCATTCTTTGGAAATGCCCACGTCAGAATGCAAGGAAATATAAAGGCAAATTATTCCAATCTTTTTCGAAACGACAAAAGGATCTTTTGGTGGCTGACCATCGAAGGCATTATTAATAACATTGGCATAAATACTACAATCGTTACTTACTACGAACGTCCGACAGTTGCTAATTTGCAATGGAACGATTCGATATGAATATTTATACTTGTGGCGTACTATGCGGCCAAGGCGTACTCGGGCCGATTTAATTTTCACCAGTCATTGGACTTTTGGACAAATATTAAACACACACACACAACACGATGATAGATTATAGAAAGATGATGATCACGTATACGATCTAATTACGGTAAAGACAAAGTCGTTTTTTCCAAGCTGTTATAATATCTTACTAGATCATTAAATATTCTGATTTTAAAGATGGACCGGGTTTTATGATGTCACTACTCGCGACTCTAATGGGAGTGTACCATCCTTACTATTATAATAAACGCGAAAGTTTGTATGTATGAATGGATGTTTGTGCTGGATGCTAGGTAAATATTTTAAGAGAAATATCAATTTTCTTGTCGTTTGTATGAATAAGCGATCAATGCAGTATTCAGACACGTGAATTAAAAAAATAATTAACATTCAATTCCGATTGCGAGGTTCCGACTTAATTGGCTTACGAACGACACTCCACTGACAAATAAACGCATTAAATTTTGGGTGATACCTTTGTTTTTGATCGTTTACTAATTTAAACCAAGAAGCGCAATCCGCTTCCTCCGAGTGTCGTTATCTTTAAGATTTATGCTTTAAACCGTTATCAAAGCAAACGGTCCCGTAAAATAATCGTGTCCGGCGTTTTATCTTTTGTAACAAAATAACTTTAGTATTTTTATCTGTAAACAACAACGCGAAACGTCTTATCAACGTGCACACTTTATTTCTGCATGTATACATATGTTCACGGCTCCATCTCATACAACTAAGTACTAAAATTATGTTCTCCTTAATTTGTTTCAAGCAACGGCACGTTGACGCGACGTGCACGGTGCACTTGTTTTCTGGGTTGCATTTCGAATCCCAGTGGGCAGTCCCATGGTGTGCATAAACCTACATACGTTTCATTTGTCTTGTAGATATGACAAAATCGTATACTATCACAAAATCACTATTGCAAATTTCAGATAACAGCACTCGTCGAATCTAGGACACAAAAAGCTCGAGTAAAAGACAAAGTCAAAATTTCTTTCTTCAATATAGGCTTGTTTTATGCTCTTATTGAACGATTCACTAATTTAGACTCTCTCTCTAGTAGCAAGTTGTCTCTTTTTCAATAATAATGTATACAAATTTGCAAAGTATAGAATCAGTAGTAGCTACAGGGACTTGCAATTGCAGAGCAAGAGTCATTTCTACATATCCTTCTCCACAATGTATTCTTCGACATTATAGCAGGCCCTTTCCATTAGGTTAGCTTTTACAAAATGTTTGAATTGTTAACACTTTTTATGGATGTCACTAATTTTATGTTAAATGTTAATACATCTACAAAGATACGATTTTCTGGATTAATCCAGTCTAAACCTGGTTACTTCAACCTAGTTTCCCCAAGGTCCAGACCGATGTGGTATCTGATGTAAGTGGTTGATATACTCGAGTAAAGGTGACCTTGTCAAGGCACAAGATACAAGGCACGAGATGATATATTCATACTGGAGTCATCGTATATATCGCCACGTCCAAAGGTATAACATGCCATGCATAAATTGACAAGGAGAGATGGCGTTGAATGACAGGAACAGGCTAAATACAAATCCTAAAACCAGGTAAAGATGGCTACAGTATATAATTTTTTATATACTGTAGCCATCTTTACCTACCTTGCGGTTTATGAAATTCTTCAGCGAGGAACCGACGAAATCTTCGGACAAATATGAACTGATTCTCTATAATGGTTCTTTTTTAATGATAAAACATGATAGTTAGAAATTGGCCAGGAGAGTGTGGAACACGAGTTATGTTTAACGTGTACATATTTCAAACAACGATACGACGGATTTTAATAAGCATTCCGTAAGCGTGAAACTAAAGCTGAACCGAACCGAACGCGATTCGCAATCGTAATGTCTGGCGAGACGTCGCACTCTGTCGCACCGCGCCGATTCGAATCGCCCCCTGACCTCCAGACGCGCCTCGACTCGGGAGGGCACCGCGTATTATCGGATAACCTTCCCGTCCACGAACTGCACAGCTTCGCATACTAGGCTCGCCATTTCGTCTTATTAATAAGAGTCCGGTTATTGACTGGAGACGGATGTTTGTGTCCTTTTATGTCGGGACTTAGTTTTACACAGAGTTATCTAGTCCCAAACCAAGCAGAGTTTGTACTATGGGTACAAAACATCGAGGGGATATTTTTAATGCGTCTCAACGTAAATTTATACACGTTGGATGGTCGATTACCCTGTTTAAGTTATGAAACAAATTATGACCCCATAAACAAAACCTGTACTTGTGATGACTGACTGATAGATACCGCTTACCATCTATCTAGAGGGTATTTTTTGCCCACCATACGTCTACTTGGTACACGTTTATATTATAACTAATCCAATTATTGAATTAACTTTAATCGTAGCTTTAGAATTAAAGGGATCTAATTAAGAAAATCATGATTGACTTTGTCGGGAATCGACCTCTAACGGCTACCTCTTTGACTGTTATTAAAATAAGGGTTGATTTTTGGCGAAGAAAGCTAAATAAAGTTTACTTCGGTCTCTTTCACTCCCCTCCAATCACTGTGTTTGTTCATAAGTGGGCAAATATTTATTTTACGTTTCTCAAAAATGTATATTTTCTAAATAGGTCACTATAATTCTAAACGTAATTCGTACGTACTGAATAGTGTGACAGGATAACAATTTTAATCCTGTCGTAAAACTGCTTTACGAATTTATGCGCGTTCTGCTTTGTTTTATATTCACGACGTTTCAAACGCTTTACAGCGTCCATTGTCACTGACAGAAAGTATGTAGATAATTAACGGTCAGTTATTAAAAGAGGTTTTAGAACACAGTTTGAGAATATCTATCTTTACGTGCAAATAACTCACAAGCGACTCGACGTAGCTAATTAGGAACGAAGAAATAAGTAAGTAGAGTAAACGGCATAGAGCGACATTTCACCACGTCGTTGTATAATGTTGGTTGACTAAATCTATGGCCTGAAAACGCTCCAAGACGTGCAAATTTGCACATTCGCTCCAAATACACCCCATAATTTTGTGAAGACGTCGAGGGAACATTGTATTCGTGGCGAATTTATGTGCACACACCTTTATTAGATCGCAAAGTTTTCTTTAGATGTCTTTCGTGAGATAACAAATGCTCGTTCGTTTCGAAGGTATACTAAGGTTTGATGTCATAAATTAACTGCTATTATGTCGGAATAATAAACGCGAATCCCTCTTAATTCTACAAAAATCGAAATAAATACAATTACGGAAATTTAAGTCGTCCCGCTGTCTGTCTGTCCCTATGTATGCTTAGATCTTTAAAACTACACAACGGATCTTGATGCGTTTTTTTTTTACTAGATATTGTGATTCAAGAGGAATGTTTATATGTTGTTTAGAAAATATTGCAACCGTGCGATGCTGGGGCGAGTCGCTATTTGGATCATAAAAGTAAAAATCTTAGTGCGTCGGACGTCTTAAGTTGCCGCACTGTTTAGTCCTTCTCCACAGCCGACAGGAACGTGTTTAAGGGTTGGTCCCGCCTCGGGTCAAGGAGTATGAGACGCAGTACCTGAGCTCTGCGTAAGGAGTCCTGTGACCCACAATCCGAGCAGAGATGAGGAACCCTTAACGATCTGTCTGACTGTTTACTTAAGATTGCGTCGGTGTTTCAATCTGTTAACTAAAGAAGCTTTGTTTTGAATGATTTTAAGATTCAGTTTTGTATATTTTCCCCTTAATCCTGATGCTTGATTAACCATTCGTCACAATTTACGTAAGTAGTTATCCGAACACAGTTTGTACTCGCTATCTTCATTGTACTGTACATTTTTTTCTGTACACTGTATTATTTTCGGATAAACGTCGCTCGTTACTTCATAGCACTACAAGGATGTAAGCAGTGGATTTAGTAGTTCGGAATGATTATTTAATTGTACACATTTCTAACCTGTAGGCAGAAGTAAGTATCCAAACATGATCAATCGTGTCGTGAAAAATTACGTTATGGTCTCCCCGCCGAAGGACATTAACAAAAACGATGTGCTAACTTGTTCAAAGAATCTTTTACCAAGCGTAAAATCAACTTGCTGCACCACCAGCACAATCTGTTCCGTGTGCTTTTAAACCATTCGTTGTTGATCGAATAACCGTCCATAAAATAGTGGCAACGTGATTGACAACAACGTTGATTGGAACCACCTGGCTCCGATAAAAAATCCATGTGACATGTGTCGATGAACGGTAAAAATCACCACTGTGTCGTGATATATGAAGCCGTAAAATGCTTCGTACTCTCTGTCGCCACCCTATTCAATAGATAACTGTTACGGTGGTAGGGCCACGCAACCGCCTCGGTTGTTGCACTAATGGGCAGGCTCGTCCGGGTCACCACAATCTCACAGAAGTCCTCACACGCGTCAAGTGGAAGTATAATACTTTCGCGTTTCGTCTGGTGACTGAGGTAGCCGGAGCCCAATTTTCAAAAAGTTGTCAACGCACATACAACCCTCGGGTATAGCAGATGTCCATCGGCGGCGGTATTCATTTAACATCAGGTGTACCGCTTGCTCGCTTGGCAACGTTTCACATTAAAAAAAACATAAAATTGCAACTAATCCCACAACGCCGCCGTTTGACCCCACCTCACCGCAACCAGCCATAGGGTTAAAACTTAAAACGCTCGTAGGACAAGCCCCCTCACTTAGCGCATTAAGTCGCGTTTGCGGTCAACTTAAGTTCTCCTCTCTCTGTTCGCAGTGCCGTGGGTAAAACTTGCCTGCTCATCAGCTACACAACGAACGCCTTCCCCGGTGAATACATACCGACAGTGTGAGTATAGCATTTATATATTTTTAACAATAACGTAAACTAAAATGATAAATGACCGTGTTAAGCTGTAAAGAATAAAAAGGTGGCAACGCATCCGCAACCCTACTACGGGTGTTGCAAATGACCATGGGCGTCGGTTATCACTTAACATCAGGTGAACCGCCAGTTCGTTTTCCACTTTGTAACATAGAAAAAAATTAAAGCAGACACCTGGAAAACTCATTGTTTATCACACAATAATAATAATAGAGGGGAGCAAGTCCACACCCTCTGGCGCAAGAGACCGCGCACAGCCGGGTCGTCAAGCTAACAACGTTTACCGATTAGCGGGACAGTTAAGATATCGATCTAACCTAACAGAGTTCATAATGAACAAAGTGTAATTGTTAGTTGAATGATTAAACGACCACTTTGTATTCATCACTGCACGATTTGCTCAATGGTTCTGTGGTCACTTTGCCAACTGTCGCTGCACCCCGTGTTTTGGGTTCGATACCCGCGCTGGACATAAATTTCTGTGAGCCTTAAAAAAATGTTCCGAGTCCGAATGAGCTTTGTCCGTGATTTGTATGGTTGCGGAACCTCCCCGGGGGTCGTCATATAAAGAAAGAGAGATAGAGCCAGATATTTTAAACTTAACAATCGCAACTTACAGCTCTCTTAATAAAAAACTTTCTTTATGTATTAAAAGCGAAGCAAGTCATTTATTTTAATAAAACAAAGTTACGGATTAATTTTTGTCTTCAACCGTGTAGTCGGACCCGTTTCCGTAAATACTGCAAAATAATCGAGTGTGTTTAAAATTAAAATAATTCCACATAGAGGTATTTATGAGTAACGTTCGCGTAAATTATAATTGTAAGTTTTGTGTATTTCATAACTCATTTTGAAACTGGCACCCCGCGGCCCCCAATTACCAGGGCCCCATACTCCGGACGCAACAAGTTGTCGACGGGTCGCAATCGTGTGACACGACGGCGAATTTTATCTCGTCAAGTATCAATTGGACGATTGATTGGAGACATCCGCCTGAACGATATCGATCTGACTGAGTGGATAGTTCTATAGGAGTGTGAAGAGAGTTCTTAAACGCGACAGATGATGACCCCGACGTCGCATGCCTTGCAAGAAAGTGACTTAGTGTATTCTTTGCGCGTAGTGAATCAGTACTCTATATATTAATACGTGAAGCAAAAACTTTGTAGCCCTTTTAACGAAAATTGCGCGGACGGAGGAGTATGAAATTTCCCACACTTTAGCTTATATAGACAAGGAGTGCAGAATGCATGAATATATTTTTTTATTGTGCATAAAAAAATACATTAAATCGACATTGAAACATTACACACACTACCATGTATTTGACACACGCGCATATATACTCTTTTGTTTATTGTGTTATTGTATTTGAGAATATATTAATGTTGTTCCAACGTATAATTTAAATTATTTATGATCGAATTTCGACCGCTCGGCGTCCACTAGTAATTATTAATACATTAGTGCACGTCAAGTAGTTAGAGCCGTGATAGCTCAGTGTCCGGGCGCTCGCCTTTAATTCAATATACTCGAGCAACCTGAGTTCGATCCCCGGTGCCGGCACCAATGAAGTTTCTAACTTTAAGTGCTGACTTATCACGTGCTCCGCGGTGAAGGAAGACATCGTGAGGAAACCTGCATATTTTCGAAATAATAAAAAAAAAATTTGGAAGATATGTGAAGTCCGCCAATCCGCAGTGGGGCCGCGAGGTGGACTATGCCCTGATACCCTCTGTATAGAGGAGGCCTTTGCCCAGCAGTGGGACATGTATAGGCTGTTACTTTACTTTTACTTTACATTAGGGCACGTCACAGGGAACCGAACCAGCGATACCCAAGTGGTAGGGCCACGCAGAAGCTTCTGTTGTTTAACGAATGGGCAGGCTCGTAAGGGGAAGTACCACGACCTCACGGAAGACCGGCGTGAAGGAGAAGTACTATACTTTCGCGTTTCGTCTGTTGAGTGAGGTAACCGGGGCCCACGTTTTTCGATGGTTACCAACGGTACTCTTTTTTTTTATGTGAAAAGTTGACACAACGTGTAAAGTTTTATAAATGATAGTTTTATAAATGGGAAGATATAATAAAAGATTTATTAGCAGTTAAGATGTTGTATTTATCCCTTCAGTTTAAAGTTACAATCCCTGGACTAGCTCAGATACAATATATTTTAAATTATAATAATAATAATAAGTTGGGCGCCTTGTCTGTTAGGAACAGACTGTTGTAATAATTACAATTAAGTATCTCAGGGAGTCGTGAGTACATAGGACCTACACATTACTTTGTGCGACCATAAAAGGTTAAATAAAAGTTATGCAATTCAATTTAAATACGAAGTCCAGTCAGGTAGTTATTTTAAATCTGTCACCGCAGACACCTGCCCTGTGTGCACAGGTCAGCGTTGAGCTCAGAACCATTAGAGAAAGTCAGGCCAGGGGTAGTGTGTACAGCCACACTGTTGGGGGGTATGTAGGAGACCTCCTGCCAACAAACACTACATTGTAGAACTAACAAAGGCAGGGATATGAAGCTACCCACTATTATAAGATGTGAAACACTTACCAACTGGAGGTAAAAAACAATATTTAATCGAGCAGCAGCTTAGACCAGCTTGCCAGCCACCTATGCCTTCAGCATCCACCTGTGATATTCGAAAAACCATGCTTAGAAACACGAGACAATAAATTCTCAACCTACCTTCATGTGAGATTTCTAAATACATTCACAATGCAAGTCTTTTACAATTTTAGTAGGAAACCAGTGAAAATAACAAAGGGTCTTACCACGAGGGATAACAAATCCAGCACAGAGGTTCCCAGACAGGAATCACACAGATATTACGACGAGGAACGTGTTCTAATTTCAACCTCTAGCCATGCACTGTAAAAAAGCGAATTGATAAGAAAACGAAATACGTAAGCAAAACAACCACTGGCATGAACAAAACCAAGTAACTACTTACCAGTCGAAGATAATGGATCCACAAAAACTAATTTATCCAATGTCAATTCGAACCGGCGGCAATCTCAAATGACAAGTACCAACAAATGAACTTAACTTTTTGATTCGACCTTTCGAAAAGGCTAAGGTTCATAGGACATGCACCCTAGTCTTTAGAAAAACAACAATTTAGACAAAGTGATGAAATCACCCGTTACAAACGAGCAGGCGGTTCACCTGATGTTAAGTGATAACCGCCTGCCCATGGACATTTGCAACACCCGTAGGGTTGCATATGCGTGCCACCTCTTAATAATGTGGGCCCCAGCCACCTCACTCACCAGACGTAACGCAGAAGTGCAACACTTCCACTTCACGCCGGTCTTCTGTGAAGTCGTGGTTCTTACCCGGACGGACCTGCCCATTCGTGCAACAGCGAACACTGTTGCGTGGCCCTACCACCGTAGACTCACTTATCATCAGGTGAACCGCCTGCTCGTCATGTCAACTTTTCACATAAAAATTGCCAGTCATGACAATTGTATGACATTGCTATTATTATGTTTTCTAACACATTGCGTCGTATCGTTTTATGAAATTCAATACTGAGTTTCGGCTATGGTCACAATGTTACCAATGATGAACACAAGGAATAAATTAAACTATTACAACGTAGATATTAAGTTAATCCTTACCTATAATAATGTAATGATAATATAATTCTACAAGCGTGTAGGTTCAACAATGGAAATGTTACTAGATCACGTGCGCATAATAGGCTTTATATTTTGCCGAACCAATATAACTATTACTATATGAGCCCGATAACTCCCACGCGACCAATTCGATATCTATGACGCGGTAGTAACTGGCCTTGGCATTTTAATCATCACACCGTTGGATGACGTAGGGCTCTTTTACTGTATGTCGATAGTCGAATACAGGTTAACAAAGGAATGTCTACTAAAAGTCGTTTTAAACAAGTGGAATATAATTTAAAAAAACAAAAAATCTAACTGCGTTTCTGTGTAATTTTTTATTTTGATATACCCTGTGTCACTCTCACAGTAAATACGAATCTAAAGACACCTCTCAAGCTAAAATCCATCAAGCCGTTCAGGCTGCAGAGCGTGCCAAACAATTATACATACTATACTATCGTAAAATATAACTCTCCTTCTGGCGTTTTCGGGTAAAAATAAGACACTCCCGCACTCGGTGACAATCTTCCACAACAGTTAGAAATCACGGACACAACCAGACGCCAATATGTAAAGAGCATCAATAGTTTAAAAGGATAGAAATTAAGTTAATACGATCTGAAACTCTTACAAAACACTTGTCCTGTGCAATCGAAACGGCCTAGCGCAACGCACAAGATATTAACAACTCGGCGACCGTCACAAATTTTGTCATTTCAAATAAATAGATATTATATCTGAAATTTGCGCCCAAAAACCTATTGTCAAGTTTTTCCAATTCCATACATACATTAGGAGTTTTATTGCCTGCAACGTTTTGGACTAAATAAGCTTCCAGAAACGTATTTCGAGTGTATATCAGAAATCATTTTTAAAATGTGCATAAAAGGAAGTTGCGAACAAGTATTTTGCGTCATGGTAAGTGATTATCGCTGCCCATGAACATTGGCAACATGCCGCCGGTGGGTATTTTGCGCGAAACGAAGTAAAATTACTTTTACCCGACGGCCGAGAAGAAGGGTAATGTTTTTCGTATGTCTATATGTATGTCTTATTCTTTGACACTCCCTACATCGTACACGATTTGACGGATTTCGTCATATCTATAACGTCTTAATCACTAGATTCTTCTTGGTGCGGGAGTGACATATGGAATATTATTTTTACCATTTTTTATTATCATTTAATAATTTATATTTATTAACGCCGATCTATTGTTAGAGTGCGACCACCATTCATTTTAGCCGAGCACGAGCAACTCGCTAGGCAGAAGGCACTGAGTTTTGTCTCTACTAGGTCTTACCATTGTGTGTGACATTAACGTGGAAACGGAACTTTCCAGATTCGACAACTACTCGGCCAACGTGATGGTCGACGGAAAGCCCATCAACCTGGGCCTGTGGGATACCGCCGGCCAGGAGGACTACGACCGTCTCCGGCCGCTCTCCTACCCGCAGACTGACGTGTTCCTCATATGCTTCTCCCTCGTCAACCCTGCGTCCTTCGAGAACGTTCGGGCCAAGGTAGCGTTACTCCTATTCCTTTGCTCTCACACCACCAGTGTTGACTGTATTGTTCTTATCGACATGAAAGAGATGAATAGCATCCTAAGTCAAGTCTAGCTATATATACAATCGAAGTTTTCTTCAAATCCATCATGTCATCTTTCAGTCACTAGGACTTTAGAGCTAGCAATGTTGAGATCTTAAACGTATTTACAGTTTTCTTCTAAAGAATCCCTCGACATTAATCAGTTATTACAAAATTGCGATAATTATTAAAGACTAACATTTATTTATTAAACCGCCTGGGTTTAAACACTGTTTTAATCAAGCTCCTATTTAGACTTCGAGTGTAATTAACCTTTGCAAGTTAAGGAAGAAATAAAGGAACTTTCTCGTTTATTATTTCTTTATATTAGCCCAGTCAACAAATATTGCAAACGGGATGCTTTCTCTCATTAAAAACTCAAACGTGAAAGGGACCGGTTAAAAGATCTCATCTAAAATAATCATCATCATCGTTATTTCAGCCTGTTTCCGTCCACTGCTGGACATGGCCTCTCCCACTGACTGCTTCGAAGCACGATCCTGAGACACCTGCATCCATCGATATCCATCTTCATACACTGCGATTGCCAATATCATCAATCTGGCAACCTATTCAGAAAATACAAGATATGTTTCTTTTTTACTTATGGACTTTCGTTGCGGTTTCCAGTGGTACCCCGAGGTTCGGCATCACTGCCCCTCGACGCCCATCATCCTGGTCGGCACCAAGCTCGACCTTCGTGAAGACAAGGACACCATCGAGAAGCTGAAGGAGAAGAAACTGGCACCCATCACCTACCCACAGGTTCTTTACGTTTTTTATCATAAATTAGCTAGCTTGTTAGTTATTGCCTTCAAGGATGCTAATGAGGGTGGACACATTCTATCTTTCTCTTAGGATATTTGGTACTTTTGACCACTTAAATGGAATTTCTAGTTCGGAGCTGATCCTCGTTGTGTTACCAGGGAGGTATGCGACAAGGAGTGACCCAGGGTAGCATATGCATCGCCACCTTATGGTAAAGTGGGCCCCGGCTACCTCACTCACCAGGCGAAACGCAGAAGTGTAACACTTCCACTTCACGGGGTTCTTCCGTGAGGTCGTGATACTTATCCGAACGGACCTGCCCATTCGTGCAACAGCAGTTAAAAAGTACCCCGTAAACGCTCTATGGTTGACATAGCGCGTAGCGCTGAGTTCAGGTCGCACATTACGTCATCGTACGAATGCGTAGAAAGACCCTCAAGAAGTAAGCTTCGGCAATCTGATCACGGTGCCAAATCCAAAGGTTGCTCGAGCATAACCTGTATCTCCAATGGTACCATCCCATGGCCTTTTTGGGTAATAAAATTGAGAATTCTTTTTAAGATTTCAAAATATTGCCGCCTCGTCTATAGTCAGATATTACATTTTTATTTTAGTGTATATCAGACATATGTTTGAATATGATGGAACTGTATAATATGGTTGTCAACAACTTTTATACCATATTCAAACAAACAAATAAATACATTTAAAAAAAAACCCATATCCTGGCACTCCGCAGGGCCTCGGCATGGCGAAGGAGGTGAACGCCGTGAAGTACCTCGAGTGCTCGGCGCTCACGCAGAAGGGCCTGAAGACGGTGTTCGACGAGGCGATCCGCGCCGTGCTCTGCCCCGCGCCGCGCGTCAAGCCGCCGCGACGGGTCTGCGCGCTGCTCTAAGCGCGGCGCGCGCGTTCAGGTAAAACCGACCCTACTGCGCAAGCGACACGGACGGATGTCGCGTGGCGGCCCGCGATTACGACCGCCGTAGCGCGAGCTCCGAGCGGGTGTTGCGAGCCGAATTGGACTTTATTGTCCAGGCGTTACGTTTCTGTTTGGAATGACGACGCGACACGGACGGATGTCGCGTGGCGCGGCCATAGCGTGAGCCCCGATCGGGTAGTTGCGAGCCGAATTGGACTTTATTGTGCAGACGTTACGTTTCTGTTTGGAATGACGACGCGACACGGACGGATGTCGCGTGGCGCGGCCATAGCGTGAGCCCCGATCGGGTAGTTGCGAGCCGAATTGGACTTTATTGTGCAGACGTTACGGTTCTGTTTGGAATGACGACGCGACACGGACGGATGTCGCGTGGCGTGGCCATAGCGCGAGCCCGGATCGGTTAGTTGCGAGCCGAATTAGACCTTATTGTCATGGTGATACGTTTATATTTGGAATGGTGACGCGACACGGACGGATGTCGCGTGGCGCGGCCATAGCGTGAGCCCCGATCGGGTAGTTGCGAGCCGAATTGGACTTTATTGTGCAGACGTTACGTTTCTGTTTGGAATGATGACGCGACACGGACGGATGTAGCGTGGCGCGGCCATAGCGTGAGCCCCGATCGGGTAGTTGCGAGCCGAATTGGACTTTATTGTGCAGACGTTACGTTTCTGTTTGGAATGATGACGCGACACGGACGGATGTAGCGTGGCGCGGCCATAGCGTGAGCCCCGATCGGGTAGTTGCGAGCCGAATTGGACTTTATTGTGCAGACGTTACGTTTCTGTTTGGAATGACGACGCGACACGGACGGATGTCGCGTGGCGTGGCCATAGCGCGAGCTCTGATCGGGTAGTTGCGAGCCGAATTGGACTTTATTGTGCAGACGTTACGTTTCTGTTTGGAATGATGACGCGACACGGACGGATGTAGCGTGGCGCGGCCATAGCGTGAGCCCCGATCGGGTAGTTGCGAGCCGAATTGGACTTTATTGTGCAGACGTTACGTTTCTGTTTGGAATGATGACGCGACACGGACGGATGTAGCGTGGCGCGGCCATAGCGTGAGCCCCGATCGGGTAGTTGCGAGCCGAATTGGACTTTATTGTGCAGACGTTACGTTTCTGTTTGGAATGACGACGCGACACGGACGGATGTCGCGTGGCGCGCCCATAGCGTGAGCCCGGATCGGTTTGTTGCGATCCGAATTAGACCTTATTGTCATGGTGATACGTTTAGTTGCGATCCGAATTAGACCTTATTGTCATGGTGATACGTTTGTATTTGGAATGGTGACGCGACACGGACGGATGTCGCGTGGCGCGGCCATAGCGTGAGCCCGGATCGGTTAGTTGCGATCCGAATTAGACCTTATTGTCATGGTGATACGTTTATATTTGGAATGTTGACGCGACACGGTCGGATGTCGCGTGGCGCGGCCATAGCGTGAGCCCGGATCGGTTAGTTGCGAGCCGAATTAGACCTTATTGTCATGGTGATACGTTTATATTTGGAATGATGCCACGACTCGGGCGGATGCCGCGTGGCGGCCCGCGATCCGACCGCCGTAGCTTGAGCTTGGATCGGACGCGCTTACAAGCCGAATTTGACCTTATTGTCTAGAGGCTACCTTTCCACATTTAGTGTCCGTGTTCACTTATTGAGGACTAAAACGGGTTCAAGCGCAACTTTTACTAGTGTCAATTTCCAATGGCAGCATAGGGAACACGACAAATTTTCCGTTTGCCTAATTATAAAAAAAAGACTCTAGTACCGATACGGTGTTAAACTTTAATTTTGACTCACTTGTCTATGCATAAGTACACCTGATATGTATTATTAAAGCCGTAATGGTTCACAGACTACCCGCACGTCGCAATCGTAATTTAAAATTAACCATTAACACGGTACCACATCCGATCTTAAGTGATTACCACCGCCCATGGTATCTGCAACATAAGTGGGGTTGCAGATGCAATAACGACCTGCGTTAAAGCCCCGCTTACCTCACTTCACGGACCAGAACCAAGTACGAGTACAAACACTTCCAAACACGTCGTTGGACTAGCGCGCCCATTTGTTCGCCAGCGGACCCTGTTGCGTCTACCACATACAAATATACAGGGTGGCTTTTCTAAAGGTAAACAAATTCACACAGGAATTTCAGACTCGGTAATATAATCATTTATTGAATTAAAAACAAACTTTTTTTTTTAAATTGCCATTCTATTCCCTAAAAAACAGAACTTGTTGACAATGCGGTAGTCATTCATAAATGCGTCGTATACTTTTGAAACGAACTTGTGTGCGTGTTAGTTATGAATGATCGCGCGTAAAATAAATGAGTTTCCCATAAATCATGCACATTTTGAGATAAGTTCACATGGTTGTAATTAATTAATTAATTACGAGTTTTTATTTTATTTTAAGTAATTATCATTTTTATATACTAAATAATATATATGTGATAAGATATAGTAACCTAACCTAACCTAACATTATTTATGTCTAAAATTTAATAAAAAAATGGATACATATCCTGTACATAAATATAAATATTTCAGGACACATTTTTACACAACGTTTTATAGTCCCTAAATATGGAACGCTTGTATTACGGGTACTAGCTAACTGATAAACATACATAAACATAATTTTCTTTTGTAAATAAATACATATTATTAATATATAAACACCCACGCACTTGAAAAATACTATGTTCATCACACAATATTTTTCCAGTAGTGGGGATCGAACCCACACCCTACGGCGCAAGAGGCAGGTGCACTACCCCCTACGCCAATCGACTCGTCATTTTGAAACATTGTACGTAATGTCTGTTTGTCTGTCTGTCCGTTTTAGATAGTGCAGGCGAGGTGTCGACGCTAGTGCGCGCCGCAGAGCTATCACAACAGATGGCGCGCCGCAACAGCAACCGACACAAACGAACTGCAACCAATAATTCTTACGCATAGTATAATCTGTACCGTTTAATGCGCATCGCAAATGCATTTGTCTGTGGACCCCCGCCTCCATTTTGTCTATGGTCAAACGCGATGCCCTGTTCGTCATGTGTATACTTTCTAAAGTAGGGCCGTTCGCACACCGCACCGATTGCCGCCAAAGCGGTGTGTTCTGTGCCGGTCCTTATTTTTAATCTGTGCGCCGTGTGTAAATCAAGCTGGGAAACATTCGCGCCTAATCGATGTACGTACGCCGTTTTATTTGGGCCGTGTGAAAAAAAAATATAGCACCCACCCAGCCATTGCTAGCAAAGGTCTATCGACTACTTGAGTACCAAATGAAAGAAATTTTATCATTAAGCGTTTTTCAAAGCTGCCAAAACATGTGTAAACTAGTGTTTCGTTTTTTATATTTCGTCATAAGGTGCTTCTCCCCCGTTACGTTGTTTTTAGCTCTAATACATTCCCGGCGACTTCTCGCCAGAAAACGTCAATATCTGTTTTACGATTTTGCTTTTTTAACGTCGAACACTTTCCACTTGGGGGCGGCGGTTGTAAATGGAATTGTTGAAAATTCTATTGTTTTTAGACAGAGATTATATTTTTCGATTTATTATTAGCTTATTGTGATTTTTTTTTGTCGGTTCGATTGTTGTATTTCATCGATTTTAAGTACATCCAGTATTCGATAAGGCGGTAAGTTGATTGATCGCTCTCGATCGTTTTAAAAAAAAAAATATCTAATGCAATAAATTTTCGCGCTCTACTCAAAGTTTGTCGATGTGTTTTGTTTTATTATGTTCCGCGATAAGTTGTTTTATTTTTAATTGACAGCCGGAAAAATTAACTATAATCCGATTGTCTATGCTTCACGCTGTCCAAATGTGGCACAAAGGCGGCCATTATTAACGAGAGCTTTCGTATGTTTTCTTTTTCTTAAATATGGGCTACCTATGCCGTTTTTGATAAAATCGTAAAAGAGACAAATGTACTGTATGTTAATTAATTTTACGCTATTTTTTTTTATTCTAATGTATTCGAATCAGTTTCTATATATTTCAGTTTCGTAATACGAAAGCGTTATTGTGTCCCTCTATGACGATAATTTGTTGTCTAACATTGATGTATCACGCATTAAATATTCACGTGTTCGTACCGGTCTAAATTTATTTCATATCGTCGTTAATTAATCTGCTTATGAGTGCTGTAACATAGAATACTTCTCTGATTGCCGTGCGGACTGGAATTTACATCCCCACATATGGCTACTTACTATCGATAACACCTAACCGATGGGGGGGTGGAAAGGGGTAAAATCTGTCAGTTTCATTCATTATACTAAGCATATTAAATTTTATAATATAGTCAACACAGCCTTTACGGACGTTGTGTATTTCATATCGACAAAGATAAACAGACAAAATTTTTTTATCGTATTTCATCGATCTGTTCTATCGATATTTTGTATCCGTATGTTCGGGATCTCAATACAAGCATTTAATCGATATTTGGTACTGTGGAAACCGCACAACTATTTAGCATTATTAATAGACATTGATTACGTTACGGGCCATACATTTACGGCTATTTACGCTTTCAGTTTTGTCTCAAATACAGTTACAATTTTATGAACGGGAGACATTTTTACGCTGTAAATGTGATAATGGGTTTAGGCTTTAATTGACTTTCGCGGCCTCTGATTTTGTTTTTAATGCATATTTAAAATTATTTCTGTCTAATCGATCGCCTAACGTGTTTTCTTTTAATGTCTCGATACCACTAGAACTGGTGTCCTTGTTAGATTCTAAGTGAATTACTGTCTAAATCCACTCCTAAATGAAGTAAGTTGAAATAGATAGTACACGTAAGCGTATTAAGGTGTGTGCAATTGTGATTGTTTTTTTTTTTTAGTGAACCAAGTGCTAAATACGATGCCATAGATATTTTCTTACATAAAATAAAAATCAAATAATTGTCTATTCCTCTACGTTCGATACGACGAGAAAAAAAAAACATGAACAGTTGCACAAATAGGTACATGTAGCTGTAAGATTTTAATGTATGTATTGTTCAGATGCAAATATTTAGAAGAATCAGCATGTAAATAACTATAAATTAGTGTTAAACCTAAAGAACTAAGTTTCACGCACCATTTGATTTGGTGTTGCATTTTTGATGCTACTACTACTGTCATTTTATAGGGATGGCTTTGAATGCGTTTCTTGTGGTAACATTTTCGTATTTTTTTTAAATTTGAGAAATTACGCGCTAACTTGTATAATAAAATTTTATACTTAATCGAAACACGTTAATATTGTTTGTATCGTAATAAGATTCGGTCCTTTTTTTTTGTCGCCGTATTTGTTGTTCCTCGGGCGCGCATCTGTCAAAAAAGCGCGGGAACCACTCCCGTACCACAGATAAACAAGCGATCTTTTTCTATAATTTGACAGCTAGCGCATCCCTGTATCTATTGTGTGTGTACGATCATAATTATCGGTAGCCTTTGTTATTGTCATTGTTACTTATATGAAATCTTCGCTGCAGCGCGATTCGACGTATCACGTGTCTCCATGCTTTCATTCAGGTGTATCGGCTTGTATAATATTATTTTTATACAAATAATAAATTGTATATGGGTTAGAGGCGCACCATTCGGTCGCCGATTAATTCTTCCAAATATTGTAAAGCCTCTGAATAATTCAAAATATATTTATATTAACTGTTCAAATGTTGGTTTTATTTTCTTCGTCCGTTCCCAAATTAAGCTTTGTGTATTTTTTACGCTCTTGGGAAAATGATCAGATGATCACACGCTTTAGGAGGTTTTACAACTAAATGTGGATGTTTGTGTAACCCCCACATGACAACAGTATTTCATAATAAGCTTATTTACAGTATGATAGTCATTGTTTGAGGTTTTAGCTTCAATTTTAGAACTATAAAGCTTTATCGATCACCGGGGCCAGTGATAGTTGATAGTCTTATAGCTACCGAAGGCTGGTGTTAATTTTAGTTAAGACCAGTTTATTTTTTTTACGTTGGCATGCGAACAGACGATTCAGCTGACCTACCTAAAACATTGAATTGCAGTGTGTTGCAATTATAATTTTTTTTATAGAGGAATCATTAAAATCTCTAAATTATTATACGCAGGAGCTGCATGGTATGGTTCTTCTTCTTCTACCTAGCATTTATCCCAGCAATTGCCAGGGTCTGCTTCAAACCATTTGCTGCTAATTTGTTATAACCGCGATAGAAGATCCAAAACGGGACGATAACCCTACATACGGTTTTTATATGATCTTAAATGTTGCATAAACTTTTGTTTATGGGTTGTAAACTAAAAAAGAAGCATCGCACAATGCGATTATTATCATGCGACATTATTATGCGAAACAGAAATAAAACTTGTGATATTTCTTGTGGCGAATTCAAGATGTCTGTTAAAATAAGCAAAAGTTTTTAAACCAATTACAGGTAGGCATTACTCAATTATTAAGATAATTTAATTGTTGGACGGGACAGGACATTGATGATTTGCACGTTTCTTATAGGTATATGTATATAGGTATTAGAGATGGGTCGTATCGCTTTTTCTGAGTACCGTATCTGAATCAGATTTCGATTTCAAATATCAGATTTCAAAACTATGTATTTTAATATCTCGATATTTTATGGTCCCGTATCCACCTTGAATTGTAAAAAAAAAAATTATCTATGAAATTACCATTACTATTACCATTACCAGTGATACCAACTCTTCAAAAAGAATACTCCTAAATAAATTCGAAAACCCACTAAAATTGACTGTCGGAATTACGTTGTACGGAATTTAAAATCACGATTTTTTATACTATTAAGGTAAAATTTTAACATTACCAAACAACAACGAAATTGAAGTAATATAAAAATGATTTATTTTTACATCTTATATATCGCTTAATAATTGACTTTTACATATTTTTAGAACACGCAATCATGAGTGACAATATTTTTACACACAATTCCATTGTATATTTTTCATCCCTTATTATTACGTGCTAGGTACCAATGTAATCCAACTCAAGGCTAAACAAAATTTAAAGACATCGTTAATACCGTAATTCGTATTAAAATGCAACAGAGTTCTTTTCCATGCGCGTTAAGATTCAAATTTACTTAACTGCGCGCTTTGTCGCCCGTTATGGCTCAAGGCTAAACAAAAGAATAAAAATATAATAATATCGTTGTAGTACTCGTTAATACCATGATCAGTATTTAAATAAAACGGATCTTATTTAGATGGTATTAAGATTCAAAATTACTTAACTTATTCATAATATCTGTTCAAAAATCTGATATTGTGCCTTGCTTGCCGTACTGCTCTAACTAGTGTAATATTTGTATCTCACGCTCTTTGTCGCTCAAAATCTGTTTAAAAATCTGATATCGTGCATTGCTTGCCGTCCCGCTCTAACTAGTGAGTATTTATATCTCACGCGCTTTGTCGCTCGATATCTGTTTAAAAATCTGATATCGTGCATTGCTTGCCGTCCCGCTCTAACTAGTGAGTATTTGTATCTCACGCGCTTTGTCTCTCGAAATCTGTTTAAAAATCAGATATTGTGGCAAACGCGTATGATATCGCGATTCGTGTCGTTATAGCGAGCGAGCACGGTACATCAGATTTCGGAAATATCAGATATTGTAAAATACATAGATATTGAACGAGCCAGTAAGCGATATTCGGATATTGTACTAATATCTAGTTTTATATCTGATACGATTTGTATCGCCCACTTCTACTAAGTATATATATAGGTATGTAGGTTCTTATAAATACATAAGAACCGCAACTGCGTATGGTATAATTTTGTAAGGTGCTTAGCGCGTCGACAACTAAGTAAGGTATGTCTATATTTAACCACACGTAAAATGAATGGATCGGTAATTTTATGATAAAAATTAAGTTATCACTTTTTTTATCTGAAAAGTTTCCAAGCGAGCAGGCGGTTCACCTGATGTTAATTGAATACCATAACGTGAATAATGGACATTTGCTATACCCGAGGGTTACAGATGCGTTGATTAACTTTTGAATATTGGGCTCCGGCTCCCTTACTCACCAGACGAAACGCGCAAGTATTTATCATACTTCCACTTTACGCCGGTCTTCTGTGAGGTCGTGGTACTTACCCGGAAGAGACTGCCCATTCGTGCAACAGCTGAGGCTGCTGCGTGGCCCTACCACAGTTGATTAAATTTGTACTTATATGTATTATAAATATAATTGTGTTTGTAAAGATTGCGTACATACAATAATGACTTTCCGTCCAAATATGACGTAGGTGCCTTCAAAGCAAGAATAATTAGACTTACTGAGCTAGGCGAGACAGTACTTCACGATGGCTCAACGCCTAAATGTCTATAAGGCGCAAATTCGGTCCCACATGGAGTACTAATTTTAGCTTCTCAATTTTACCGCATTCAACATAGGGCGGCTCGGGTTATCGACGATCAAGCTCTTTCCGATCGGCTTGAACCCTAGGCGTTCTTTGCGCAGAGATGTTGGATCACTCTGCCTATTCTACCGCATTTATACTTATCTACGGGTTGAGCGTTCCGAGGAATTGTTTGGTTTGATCCCAGCCGCTGAATTTCACCATCGGACATCGCGTGAAAACTAGAAATACCAACCACACCACCTCGATGTCCGTCGCACAACCACTCTGTGGAACCAGCTGTTGCCGGCGGTCTTTCCCGTTACGATTTGGGGACCTTCAAGAAGAGAGCAAATTCTTTCCTAAAAGACCGCTAACGCATTTGCGAGCCCTCCGGTGTTGCACATGTTCATAGGCGGTGATAAGACTCCATCAGGTGAGCCACCTGGATCTTTTCTGATTTATTCCATGAAAAAGAGCTAGGGCGCATGCCGTTCTAATCCTTTTTTTTTTTCAATAAGTGACAGTTGCCTTGGCAACTTGCAACTTGACAACTGGTTTGTGTTAATTATTTTGATATAACTGACAACATTTTATCAGCGATTACTATTTAGTTAAGAGTCGTTTGATCTTATCATATTGTCGCTAGGCAACTGTTGCCAATTATTTAACAGTATACCACGCTTTAAATGTTTAAACAAAATCAAACGTAACTCAATACGCTACGGATGCTAAGCTAATAAATATTGAATAAAAGTAAATAAATATATATTCCCTAGGCCCTAGATAAAGATAACACACAATAAGAAATTTAATATATGTATATCATCTTATATGTTTCTCTTCCGGATATTAAGCTAAAGAGATAAAAATGTAACTAATCAATAATGTTCATGTTAAATAATATTTTCGCTTTGTCAATGGGAAATGCGTGACCTTCACACATCAAATTTATTGACCCGTAGGCAGATAAACCGAAATCGGCTACGCAGAAGCAATCCTGTCAAGTCCTATGAATAGGGGTCACTATAAAATGGTCAGCGTGCGATGATTGTTATTTAAAAGTCACATTCGCATCTACGCCACGATTTTATTTGACATAATGCTCAGCTCAGTCAGTTCTTACTGTGGCGCTGCCAGTGAGCAGTCCACTGTTTCGCGCGTCTGATTGTATCATTTGTAAACAAACGATTTAGTTTTCATTCTACAAGGGGCATAATTCTTTTTCTGTCATGGCGAAAGTGTTGAGTCGAGAGTTGCCGGACATCGAGGTGTGTATTTGCGATGGCGGTCGATTGCGCATGATTTGTGTTTCGTTAGTGCACGAACCTTGATCTTAACAAGACGATCGGAATGGTTATCTCTCGTTGATCGTGTACGTTTCACTGGTAATGATGGTATTGGTTCAACATTAAAAAGCACGAAGTAAACTACAAAATTCGTGTGTTACTGTTTTGTTTAAGATAACCATCTGAAATAAAATATTCAGTTTTATAAACGACCTATGTGAACAAAACACCCGAAATTCCAATTAGAATTAATAATACCTACATATACTAATATTCAATACCAACCATAATTTTATTTAACATGTCATTTTTTAAACTCTTGTTAGAAAGAAAATCTTTTTCGGTGAATGATGTATGAATAAATAAATAAATAAATGGGTATCAGATATATAATTTTTATAATGATCAATATTTTTAATTTCTATTATGACCTTGTAATAATACTAATTATTTGTAATAATAGCGAATAACTATAAATCAAATTTAATTCTTCATCGTGGTTGCGAACCATAATGTTATTCCGACTCGTAATTAACCATACACAAAGGAATACACCACACAGATAAGTAAGTATCACTTAGACTTTCATTTAGCTTCAAGGCTTTTAGCGTGAACCGTAACAACTAAACGTGCCCTGTCAATAAAACAAAGCAACATAATAATTTGTCCTAGTCTCAACTTTATTCAACACAAATATAAAACAATGAAGGGTTACTCAATATCCATATATAAATATTGTCATTCTGTTTATTTCGTCATGTCTTTCATTCTACAATAATGATGAAATCATAATATATTTACTACATTAGCCATGTTTAAATTTGTACACATACGTTCGTTCAATACGCAATATTGTTGATAATAGGTTACAACTCATTATTTTATTTGGCTATTTCTATATATGGTTCAAGACAAACATATTTGTGATTTATTAAATAATTTTATAGAAAATCTTAGTTTTAAATATTGAAGTTCTTCAATTTACTGTGCCTTTCCACATGTGATCGCGAAGTTTTATTTTGATTTTGGTTTTTTACTTTGTTGTAGTTGTTAGTTATTTTTAAATAAATCTAGAAACTCTACGCCATCTGCTAATTATCGTATAAAACATTAGATAAATTTCAAAACGCTACTAAAATATTCGACCTAAAAAGTTAGCTTTTGGCTTATGATAACTGAATTTATAATACTGAGTTTCAAAACCTTTTTTCTTCAAAAACTTTCAAACAGTTTCTTTTTCTTTTTTAAAAGTCATTTACACGGCTACACTTTGAGGTTCTTATTGAGATCTAATGTTTAAGAACCCTACATTAAGAAATATAAGTACTTACTTCAAATTAAAAAAGTCTTTCATCTACATGGATTAATATTCGTGCATGATGAAAGTTTCTTCTAATTAAATTAATGCAGTGCATAACCTAATATCTACATTCTGAATTTAATCGAAATTTACTTAGCCAATAAAATGTGATGAGATATCAGACTTACACACAAACGTTTATGTTTCTGTTTATTCGTTACATGACAAAAATGTTAACTGAAATGTTTTCAAACAATATTTCATATTATTTTTATTTAATCTAATCTTGTTTTATGATAGATATAGGTACTATGACCAAATGCGTCTTCCACATTTTATCTTTAGATGGTTATTTTATCATCCTGATTTAATAAGTAAGGCAATAATAAAATTTATCTAGGTTATCATCGACACCAATGTCAAGTGTTTAATCTATTATCGAAGTAAATAGCGAGACGTGAGTTGATGAAACATATGCTCTCTTTAAACAATGAGTCAATAATAAAACGAATTGATGTATTGATTTAGTAATTTTACTTCAATATTATGTTTAAGTATACAATTATTACATCTTATTTATTTATTTGATAATTTATGTACACAGAGAATTATGACATAAATGTAAATACATGAATGAATTTGTATAAAGGCCCTGCTTATTTCTTAAGAAACTTCTTCCAGCAGACATGTAACTGGAAATTCTTATTTTAATACATACCCATTTCTTTTAGCATGCAGCCTATATAAGGATTATAACGTTAACTTTATCTTCAATGCATATACAATATACATTTTTGTTAAAACATTTCTTTTACTCTTTGTAATTCGTTGTATTTATAAAAAATCACGTGACATACATTAGAAAATTAGAAACACGTTAAAATGAATTATACCGAACGTATACGATTTAGACGTATTTCTCATTTTTTTGATGTAAGTATGCATTTCATTCAACCTTGTTATATCAGGGCATGGATTTGAAATATTGGGAGTGGTACGTCTTTCTGTGTGTAAATACTAAATACACATTTACAACGCGAGTCGTACAAAGAAAGCGCAATAATGCTGAATTGTATTGGATAAATAAATTGCTTATGGTGTAACAATGGCCATTGTTCTCTAACCAGAACCTGCTGAGGCTGAACCCTACCGTCAAGCCTTACACGAACTTGGTGCCATCAGCCCAGACAAAGAAGAATAAACAGCATTGGAAACGTAACGCTGATAGGAAATGCACGGTGAGTTTTATGTACGAATTAAACATTCAATTATTATGACAATATGTTACCCGCAACTGCGTTCCCCCAGTTTAACCTATAAATGAATATAAGTTTCTTGAATTGAATGTTTTATCACCTCGTCATAATAAATAGTCTAGATTCCTTATCTGAAAAGTCTTTTAACTGATAATCAAAATCGTATCAAATTAGGTTCAGCCATTTTAGAGATTAGCCCGGACGAAGAAACGGACTGATAGACGGACAAAATTTTAAACGTTACCAAAACCCTAATGGACATTTGTCCATTAGGGTTTTGGTAACGTGCGAATAAGCACGAGCTTGGAAAACAGCATATATTTCGAAATTACACTTCAATTACTTGTAGAGAGATGTATAGATTAGGAGTGAGCTATACTAGGTTAAATCGAGTACCTGTTACGCCTGTTCCTGTTCCTTAAAAGTAACAGTGATAAATAGCTGTTATAAAATAATAGCCTGTCATTTAATACTATGTTGTGACAATTTGTGGAACTGTTACCTACCATAGTATCAGCTGTTACAGTATTTTACTCTATGGTTACGTCCGTACTTCTCTTTCTAACAAATCTATAAGACCGATGCAAGAAAAAGAAAGAGCTTGTAACAGTGACAGTAATCAGTGTGACTAGGGTGACAGTTTTTATCTTTTTCTAACTAAGGTAACATGCTTACGAGAAGCATGAATAAAGAAAAGCTTGTTACCGCGTGTTACGGAGCAACTTGTGTGGAACAGGAACTGTTATTTATGTTTGTTCGTAACAGGTCGTACAGTCTGTTATCTCGAGATACCTGTGACATTTACCTTATACGATAAATACGCCTCACTCCTAGGATAGATATTACAACTCAACACCAGAGGGTTTTCGAGTCTCCAGAATATTTCTCTGGACGAGCCTACCCATTTGCGGAACAATAGAAGCTGATACGTAGCTCTTCTACAGTGAACGCTTTGAACTGATTATAAAAAGGGTATTTTAAACGCCTCAGTAATCATAATTTTATTACTGAGGCGTTCAAAAATAATAATTTAATTTTATATATGTGTTGTTCCCTAACAATACATATATAAAATTAAATTATTGCCCACCGAAACAAGGTGACATACTTTTTTAATCTTTGTTTAATACTCGAAAGCGCTAGCTTAGATCTCATATTACACAATGATTTATTAATGTCTCGCATGCTGTAGCCAGCGTATAATTTGATCTTTTTGTCCCCTGCTCGAAAGAAATGCTCGTCAGCGTACAATTTGATCTTTTTGTCCCCTGATCGAAAGACGTGCCCGTCCCTGGAGAACAACTTCGACGACATCAAGCACACAACGTTGTCCGAGAGGGGGGCGCTGCGGGAGGCGGCGCGGTGTCTGAAGTGCGCGGACGCGCCCTGCCAGAAGTCCTGCCCCACGCAAATCGACGTCAAGAGTTTCATAACAAGCATCGCTAATAGGGTCGGTGCATAAGTTCAATTTGTGTTTTTCTATACAGGGTGATTTTATAGACGACGGACGTATTATCAGAGCATATGCAGAATTCGATTCTAAATCTGAATCTGGTACACACTTCTGACCTCATTTTTTTTTTCAAAAATCATTTTTAATTTTTCCAAACTTTGGAAACCCTATTAGAAATTCCCGCCTTACAGGTCGCAATACAATAACCCGTTCACCAGCACTAAAACTGTTCGCTGAACGTCTAATTACTAAACCGCTTATCAATAGGGTTGACCACTCTTAACGGGATAAACAAACAATGTTTGAATTGATATTTTACTGGTTATGTATTGTCAAAATAAAACATTAATATTTTTTTTGAATTACGGAATGCTCAATTAACGTTTTCGTCTAAAAAATCACTCTGTAGAGTGACTAATAAATTAGTGTTTCACCTAGTTGTAACACTGAAAATAGACTCCCTTAGATAGGTCCAAAGTCTCATCAAAATTCGCACACTGGTGAACAAGACCGAAAATGGTATCGATGGTATTTTGAAGTTTATATACAGCGTGTCGTTACCATCGCGACAATATATGAACACACGTCTAACGCTACTTGCCAATAATCATAAAAAAATATTAACGGTAAACAAAATCCATAATTAAAAAAAAATATTTTTCAAACAAACTAATTAAGTAAAAAAGAAACAAAATTTGTAACATCCTATACAACTCGCGCCACAGCGTCGTATTACAAGCCTCTCCTTCTAACAGTATGTTTTGTCTCTTTTAAATTCATTCATATGCTTTGTGACCTTTACAAATGAACTTTACGTTACGCTTTTATAGGTAAGGGTGTTCTAAAATTCTTTGTTTTGGAAAATTTAATAACTCTGTAAATATTGATGTTTAAAGAATTTAAATGTTTAATACAACTTTAAAAAGTTATCCCCTATATATGTGTTCATTTAATGTCGCGATGGTAACGACACGCTGTATATTTGTACGTAGGTAAAAATAGTCAGCAGGGAATACGATACGATTTACATTTGTACTAGCAATAGCAAGATATACAATTTACATGTTTATTAGTAGCAATGTCTTGTTTCTCGGTTGAAAATCGGTATTCAAATTAATCCCTTACAGAACTATTACGGTGCTGCCAAAGCCATTCTGTCGGACAACCCTCTGGGACTGACCTGCGGCATGGTGTGCCCCACCAGCGACCTCTGCGTGGGCGGCTGCAACCTCCACGCCAGCGAGGAGGGCGCCATAAACATCGGTGGGCTGCAGCAATTCGCCGTGGATGCAAGTTCAACATTGTTTCCGATGAATTATTTTGATAAGGATTATTTGAATACTAGATGTGCCCGCGACTTCGTCCGCACGGAATTTAAAATAAAAAAATTCTAGAATAAAAGTAGCCTAAGTTACTCCTTAATACATCAGCTAGGCAGTGAAAGTCCCGTCCAAATCGGTTCAGCCGAAGCTCCGAAAGCTTAGCCGGAACAAACACACAGACAGACAGAAAGAAAATTGTAAAAAATGTTATTTTGGTACAAGTACCGTGTATACATCCATATGCATTTAATAAAAAGCGGTTATTTTAATATTACAAACAGACACTCCAATTTTATTTATCTGTATAAATAGAATAAAACAATTGATTTTTTTTCAATACTCAGAATAACGTCAAATACTGTCATTGGTGTTTTAATATAAACAGTTTCGTCTGTATTTCTACCTATTTTGTTTTCCCTGCCTTTAGATCGTAATAGCTCGATGTCTATACGCTCGCATTTATAATATTTTTTAATTCAATATAATCGAGCAACCTGAGTTTGATCACCGGTGCCGGCACCAATGAAATTGTTAATGTTAAGCGCTGACTTATCACCTGCACAGCGGTGAAGGAAAAATCGTGAGGAAACCTGCATATTTTCGAAATGATAACAAAAAAAAATTTTCGAAGATATGTGAAGTACGCCAATCCGCAGTGGGATGCGTGGTGGCCCCTAATACCCTCTTTATAGAGACATTGCCCAGCCGTGGGATAGGCTGTTACATTTACTTTTACTGCTTTTGGACAACGTCTGTGCTATAATAACTATCATACTGTATAAGTAACATTTCTCAAGCTTTTATGATTTATTCAATTTTTAATGTTTATATTTAATGTTTAAGTTGATTTTAAGAGAGACAAATCCTTTACAAACATTTGATTTAAAATTGTGGTTTCAATAAAGACCTTACAGTTCCGTTCTCAATACTTTTATAAATAATTTTTAATTTGTATTAAAGATATTCATGAATATGGGCATCCGTCAAACGCTGGATCCTGATATGAAGCCGCTGCCAAGGTCTGGCGATCACAAAATAGCGCTGATCGGCGGCGGACCGGCCAGCATCAGCTGTGCCTGTTTTTTAGCCAGGATGGGCTATAAGGACATAACCGTGTACGAGAAGGAGAGATATCTCGGCGGTCTGAGGTGGGCATAGAGTCAAAGTTAAAGTGAAATTCTAGCCGTGGTAGGGCCATGCGACAGTTTTCGTTGCACGAATGGGCAGCTCCGGCGGGGTAATATAACAGTTCTAACGATTTTACCTTGATCCTAATATTTTAACTATTACTGAACTTGAATATTAACAACTATTATAACGACAAGTAGCACTAGTGGTTATATCACCGTCCGGGAACGCGGCCGAAATCCAAGTGACCACTGCTCCATGTGACCATTAGTCCTTTGGCTCGAGTAGATAGTCATATCCGGTATACAGTGCTGCCAGCGCCAACAGTAAGTACCACGATCTCACAGAAGATCTACGTGAACTGGAAGTGTTATACCTCTACGTTTCTTCTGGTGAGTGACGTAGCCGGTTTACATTAAGGTTGCAACGCATCAACCCGAGTGTTACAAAATGTCAATGGGCGGCGGTTTTTCACGTAACATCAGGTGAACTGCCAGCTCATTTGCCACCTTCGGCTTAGTTGTTTAAGCCTCTGGGCGCGATGCCGGACTGACTGAGTGTTTGATTCCTGCGGTTGCGAAAAACATATTTCTACAAATTTTAAAATAGATCGACTTAATTATGTCGCGTGGTATGGCGACATGGTTACCTAGCCACTTGTATATTAGTAAATATTGTCTATTATTATCTGTATAATATTGTATAGTATTGTATTGTTAGGATTTGGATGACGTGATAGCTTATTCATATTTCATCTCGTCAGTTCCTCCGAGATCCCCCAATATCGCCTGCCATACGACGTTGTTCAGTTTGAAGTGAGTCTCGTCAAAGACTTGGGTGTCAAGTTCGTGACGGGGAGGAAACTCGCCACGGACGATATCACCGTAGACGTGAGTGTCAATACTATTTAATATATCTATACTGGTTATTATATCTATACTTTTTATTTAGCCTTCCACTAGGATTTCCCTTTACATCATCAATAATCAACACATCTTTTTCTCCGACCGTATGGAGTATGTTGTTTAGAAACTACTATCATATACGACATCTTACTCTCATCTTGGTAATAGGCAACTTTAGAATTAAATTCTGAAACAATTGTGACAGAAATTAACTTTTAAATTAAAAAAATAAATAAAAATAAATACTGAAATATTTATACGAATAATTATTTATTCATTATTACTTGCATTTTTAATAAATGATCTTCACTTCTTTCAATCGCTTATTAATATTGAACAGTAAATAAATTTATTAATATAGTTTACACGTATAAATTAGTTTCTATGATAGCGCACAACTGATAGTTGACATTATCTAACTTCCGAATAATGTTGGTACCATCTGACGTCCAACTCTAGAACCACGCGCCCTCATCTATAAAATTTTCCCAGCTTGCCCGGTTTCCTGTTACACACTTCCGTCCCTTTTCGGTAAATCACTCCCACATATTTCAGACTCTCACAAAGCATTTTTTGGATTGTTTATAGTTCAATACTTTAATGTTTAATTTTATACTATAGATAAATGTTAAACGCATACAAAATCAGCGTTCGAAAGTGTTCCATTTCCAAATATAGTTCACACGTTCAAACGTTTCGTTCGAATGGTATAAAAATTATAGCGTTATTAAAGCAATAAGAAAACAGAGGACGGCAAGTGTTTGTCACTTTAGCTTTAAATCTCGAGGTGCATCCGGCTTTCTCGGTCCCGTATTAATCTTATTTGCTGCCTCTTTCAATCAATCAATCAAAAATCTTTATCAAATAGACGCTTGCGCGTTCTTATGAATCGTCAAATTTTACATAAAAATTATACATAGAGGTTCGTAAGGTACCACCGGTTCGGAAAGCAGTTTCTGTTGAGAAGAGACCGGCAAGAAACTCAACAGTTGCTCTTTTTCAAAGATATCAGTTTACAATATAAAATACCGGTGTAACAGTCTTATTCTACCCTACGTGAGTATCAACAGTATTAACTCCACACATTGGCGTCGTCGAGATATTCCGCAATAGTGTAATATGCTTTAACCATAAGTTGACTTTTGAATTTTACGTTTAAATTGATCAAGCGGCAGACTTAATATCGAATGTAACGACTTTCTTTGTTTCGTTTTACTCCGGGTGCGTTAACAACATATCTGTAGTATATATACCATTAGTTAAAGAGAATTTAAATGTTTTTTTCATTTATAAACCCAGGGCCTTCTTCAAAGCGGCCACGCGGCCGTGTTCCTCGGCATCGGTCTCCCGGAGCCCACCAGCGTCCCGATTTTCAAAGGGCTCACCCAAGAGATGGGCTTCTTCACCAGCAAAGACTTCCTGCCGCTCGTGTCGAAAGGAAGCAAAAAAGGTGGGTAGCTTCAATCGTTTTCATAACAGTAAGACGGTGCAGATGATAGATTGTAATTCATAACCAAATATAACGGATAAATTTGAATTTAAAAATAATCTGAGAAATATTCTCGTGAAATCTGTCTAATTTATCTCTTCTATTTTGATTATAAACGTTGTAACGTGAATTTAAAAAAGTAAAAGTAATTAGTTATCTAACAATAAGTTAAGTCCCAATACTAGGCTTTGCCTAATATTGGGACATGTATAAGCATGTCCTAATATTAGGCAAAGGCCTCCTCTGTACAGAGGGTTTAAGGGCTTACTCCCCTGCGTGACCTCACTGCAGACTTCACATCTTCTAAATAATTTTTTTATTGTTCTTATTTCGAAAATTGTTCTTAAGATGTTTTCCTTCACCGCGCAGCGCGTGATAAGTCAGGGCTTAAAATTAACAATTTCTACATCGGGGTTCGAACTCAGGTTGCTCGGGTACATTGAATTAGAAGCGAGCGCTCGGACACTTCGCTATCAAGGTTCATAGATAAACATGTATAGATATAATATATATTTTCTTTATATAGATAAACAGGTATATTTAGATGCAAATAACCTCGGCGAGCCCAAATAGTTGATATTGATGATCAATTATAATATTTTTTTTTTTATGCGAACAGTTGTCAAACGAGCAGACGGTTCACCTGATGTTAAGTGAATACCGTCGCCCATGGACATCTGCCACACCAGAGGGTTACAGATGCGTTGACAACCTTTTGAAAATTGGGCTCCGGACACCTCACTCACCAGACGAAACGCGAAAGTATTATACTTCCACTTTACGCTGGTCTTCTGTGAGGTCGTGGTACTTACCCGGACGGGCCTGCCCATTCGTGCAACAGCCGAGGCTGCTGCGTGGCCCTACCACCGTAAAAATTTTAGGGTTCCGTACCCAAAGACTAAAACGGGACCCTATTACTAAGACTCCGCTGTCTGTCACAAAGTATCTCATGGAGGGTAAAGTGTAATTGAGATTGAAAGTGCAGTTGAAATTTTTATATATGATGTATTTCTGTTACCGCTATAACAACAAATACTAAAAACCAGAACAAAAAAATGTTTAAGCGGGGCTTCCATTCAGCATTTTACCGTTTTTATAGACAACTAGCGCCCCGCCCCGGCTTCGCACGGGTGCAATGTATTATGCACGTAAACCTTCCTCTTGAATCACTCTATCTAGTAAAATAAATCGCATCAAGATCCATTGCGTAGCTTTAAAGATCTAAGCATACATAGGGATAGACAGACGGTGGGGCGACTTTGTTTTGTTACATAGGTATTGATGGTACGGAACCCTTCGTGCGAGAACGACTCGCTCTTGGCCGGTTTCACTCATCGTATACTATCTGCGCATAAAGCCGCGTATCTCTGGTCTATATATATATAGGGATGTGCGCGTGCAAATCGGCGCTGCCCCAGCTGCACGGCACCGTGGTGGTGCTGGGGGCGGGCGACACAGCTTTCGACTGCGCCACCTCGGCGCTGCGTTGCGGCGCGCGCAGAGTCTTCGTCGCCTTCAGGAAGGGATTCACGAACATACGCGCGGTGCCCGAGGAGGTAGCTACAAGTTTCATCTACTTATGGGCAAAGCCCTTTTCTGTCCTGAAGGTATATTTGCGATACGGTGAATCAATTAAAAGTTAATATTAACGGAAACTTGCAAAGAAGTGCGCAAAGGTTTATACGTTAATTGAATTGTTCCTTAACTGCCTCAGATGGTCGATGTTATTCGAAAGTAAACCATAATGTATTTCGCCATACGAGGTAATATTTGAATATACATAGAACGGTTTTACGCAGTTACGTTTTTTTTCTGCCTGATAATGACGAAGGATATTTTCATGTGTCCAAATAAAACCCCTTATCCATACAGGTCTCACTGTTGTTATTACATTAACAAATTAAATGTACTGAATTCAAAAAAAACAAATTTCATTTTGTTTGGAATTATAATATAAGCAGGATTATTTCTGTTTGCTACTTTCAGGTGGACTTGGCCAAAGAAGAGAAATGTGAGTTCATGCCCTTCATGTCTCCTCAAGAGGTGATCGTCAAAGATGGAAAGGTAAGAATATTCGTAGTAACAGTCTATATATAGAGACATACTAGCAGGGCCGCCCAACTTCATCTGCACCAAATCCGTTATATGCATGTTATTACCGTTATAGTTATTACAGGTTTCAATTATATATCTAAACGCGAGAAATCTTTAAAAAACCTAGATTCCGATTGCATTGATTTTAACATTGCGCCATCTGTTGGATACATACTCAATCTAGCCGATAATTTATTTTACACCGCCATCTGTTAGAATCTTATGGAACACACAGATAATTATAGCTCTTTGTCATAATAATCAAATAATCTATACAGATAAATAAAATTTGAGTGTCTGTTTGTAATATTAAAATAACCGCTTTTTAATATATGCAAATGGATGTATACACGGTACATATACAAAAATAACAATTTTTACAATTTTTGTCTGTCTGCCTGTCTGTTCCGACTAATCTCTGAAACGGCTGCACCGATTTTGACGGTACTCACTGGCAGATAGCTAATGTTATAAGGATTCACTTAGGCTACTTTTATTTTGGAAATTTTATTCATTTTAAATTCCATGCGGACGAAGTCGAGAGCACAGCTAGTTAATTTTTACGATTGTTCCACACAGATTGCGGGTATCAAAATGTGTCGCACGGAACAACTCGAAAACGGCGATTGGATTGAGGATGCGGAACAAGTGGTACAGTTGAAGGCGAACTTCATTATATCCGCCTTCGGCTCTGGACTGTACGACAGTGACGGTAATTTTTTTTTGCTATATTACTGTATAGAAATGTTGACTGGGTAGCATTCGCTGTTTACTTTGGCGATGGGGGTCGTGGGTTCGATTCCCACACGGGACAGGTATTTGTGTGGCCCACAGGTTTATCTACCGGATCTGGGTGATTAATTTTTTTGCTGTAACATTGTATAGAAATTATGACTCAGTAGCACCGTTCTTAAGCTATTGTGACTTTGGCGTCGCGATTCGTGGGTTCGATTCCCACACGGGACAAATAATGGTGACCCACGGATAATGGTTCCGGATCTGGGTGTTTGTTTCCCAAGGAGGGTGACGTCAGGCAGGTGGCTGATCGTGAAAACCTTAGCCAAAACCGCTTACAACATGATTCATATGGTTTGCCGACCCACCTAGGTGGGATAAGGGATGATGATATTGCATAGGAATTAAAAAACCATAGCACTTTATGTGCGCCATTGATAGGTGAGTTTTTTTATTAGCAACTTCGGTGACTTCTCCATTATGGAAAACCTGTCGTTGTCATTATCCAAGCAGTTAAGCGTTTAACGAATTTAAGCGGCCTTTACATGTGCGCTAAATTTCATATCAATTGGACTAACAGTTCTCGAGGCTTAGGTGAATATACCCATACATTCTCTTTTATGCACGTATATAGATTAAAATAATATTTTACGAGTCAGGTACTATATGTTTCTTGATACTATACGGGCTGACGCACAGTGAAAGCCGCCATGTCGAGCGTGAGACTGAACCGCTGGGGTGTTCCCGACGTGGACAGCGCCACGATGCAGAGCATCAGCAACCCTCGGGTGTTCATCGGGGGGGACCTGGCCGGGGTGGCGGAGACCACGGTGGAGTCCGTCAACGACGGGAAGACCGCCGCCTGGTACATGCACTGCTATTTACAGGTGCGTCACTTGTCCAGTACACGGTGGGAGAGAGGCGTGTTCATCGTGAAGGTGCATCTGAACAATTTTTAGATGTCGCTTACAATAAATGTCATCCATCAACGCCCGGTTTCCGAAACACTGATCGTCGAAATCAACTAATCGGCTGTCAAACGGATTTCAAATGTCATTTTAGTTGCGAAGAGGGTAGTTAAACTATCTGAATCGAACTGAATGACCTTCTTAATGATCAGGGTGATCAATTCAAAGAGCTTTCCTTTACGCAACTAAAATTACATTTAAAAAGCCAATTGACAGCTGATTAGTTAAGTTCTACAATGAGCAGTGTTTTAGAAACCGGGCTCAAGTGAATTATAACAGCAGCATTATGCGTAGCCGTGATAGCTCAGTGTCCGGGCGCTCGCCTTTAATTACATTTACTCGAGCAACCTGAGTTCGATCCCCGGTGTCGGCACCAATGAAATTGTCAATTTTAAGTGCTGAATTATCACGTGCTCAGCGGTGAAGGAAAACATCGTGAGGAAACCTGCATATTTTCGAAATAATAACAAAAAAAATATTTCGAAGATATGTGAAGTCCGCCAATCCGCAGTGGGGCCGCGTGGTGGACTATGCCCTGATACCCTCTGTACAGATGAGGTCTTTGCCCAGCAGTGGGACACGTATTATAGGCTGATACGTTACGTACGTTATGCATAACAGCTAAAAACATAAAAACGTAAATCGAGGTACGAAAGGAGCATTACTCAACAAATTAGCCGCTTCCAGGGTTTACCGTTCGACTCGCCGGTCGAGCTGCCGAAGTTCCACTGCCCCATAGACGAAGTGGACCTCTCGGTGGAGGTCTGCGGGATCCGGTTCTCGAACCCTTTCGGGCTGGCCAGCGCCCCGCCCACCACCAGCTCGGCCATGATCAGGCGCGCCTTCCAGCAGGGCTGGGGCTTCGCCGTCACCAAGACCTTCGGACTTGACAAGGTACACATCGAGCAATAATAATAATAAATATTAAAATTTGTAGAAAAAGTGCAAAAAGATTGTCGCCGCCGTGGGAATCGAACCCACGTCTTCGGCATTCGCGGCTTAACGCTCCAGCCACTAAGCTGGACGGCTGTTTGCCATACCGACGAAAATCTTAACGGGTTGCTTAGTTTGGGACTAGAAAACGTTGTGTAAAAATGTGTTCTAATATATCTATTTATTTATTTAAAATGCAGCTTTATATTTTGGGCTTGGCTGCACCAGGACCTGGTGACGAACGTGTCTCCGCGCATCGTCCGCGGCGCGACCTCCGGCGAGAGCTTCGGCCCCGGCCAGGGCTCCTTCCTCAACATCGAGCTGATCTCCGAGAAGTGCGAGGCCTACTGGTGCCAGAGCATCGCCGAGCTCAAACGGGACTTCCCCAATAAGGTGCGCCACTGTCTTATGCAGATCTGTGCGGCGCTTGAAACAAACCTCGTTTGGACTGTACAAGGATGTAAAGAAACAGATTATGTACTTATTATCGTAATATTATCCCATATTTGTTTCTTTTATAGCGCTGGTCTCTGCACTTAAGTGAAATATACAACAAAAACGAAAACGATCAAATTTTAATATTTCATATTCATTAAAGTTATGTAGATTTAAATTTATTCTACTCTCGATGTCTTCTGTTAAAACTATGACTTAAATTTAGATTGCCATAGATCAAAGGGTACATTAAATAATTAATTATTTAATGTCTCAAATAGGTCCCATAATATGATGAAATTTTCCTCTCCGCTATACAGCGTGTCGTTACCATCGCGACAATAAATGAACACACGTCTAACACTACTTGCACAATAATGATAAAAAAATATTAACGTTAAAAAAATCCATAATTAAAAAAAATATTTTTCAAACAATCTAATTAGGTAAAAAAAGAAACAAAATTTGTAACACCTATACCACTACAACTGACTAATTCATACATTCCGAGACTTTTTCATTCGTTGCCACAGCGTCGCATTACAAGCCTCTCCTTCTAACAGTATGTTTTGTCTCTTTTAAATTCATTCAATCCATTCATATGCTTTGTGACCTTTACAAATGAACTTTGCGTGGCAGTTTTATACGTAAGGGTGTTCTAAAATTGTTTGTATTGGAAAATTTAATAACTCGATAAATATTGATGTTTAAAGAATCTTAATTTTAATACAATTTAAAAAAGTTATCCTCTATTATGTGTGTTAATTTATTGTCGTGATTGTAAAGACACGCTGTATAAACGGTCTGAATGCTATTTTATGGAGAGACCGTTGTATCATAAAATATTCACGTCGCATTACAAGCCTCTTCCTTCTAACGGTATGTTTTGTCTCTTTTAAATTCATTCAACCCATTCATATGCTTTGTGACCTTTACAAATGAACTTTACGTTATAGTTTTATACGTAAGGTTGTTCTAAAATTGTTTGTTTTGGAAAATTTAATAACTCGGTAAATATTGATGTTTAAAGAATGTAAATGTTTAATACAATTTTAAAAAGTTATCCTCTATATTTGTGTTCATTTATTGTCGCGGTGGTAACGACACGCTGTAGATGACCCATGCTTCTTACTGCTCGGCGTTTAACTTGTTCCGCCTTACATTAAGACATTTTTAAATGAATGTGACAGATTATATAGAACGTATGATACGGAAAGACATAGCAGTCTAGAGTTGCGTTGTAATTACACCAGTTGGCGTAATTTCAGCGCCTCAGTTTCGGTGCGCTAGCGTCATATCTACCGATTATTTGTATGTAATATCATTGAACGTTATATTCAAATTTTACTTTCTCTTTGTCATTCATCAAACAAAGACAAGGTCACCTGACCATCTGGAGGCAAAAGGCTATAGTTCCAATGGTCCTTAAGACGAAGCGAAAGTAGAATAACGCGTGGATACAGTATCTATTGCTAGAGAAGTTCACGTTAAAGATTGTAATTATTATTTGCCTGGAGCGGTGGAAATCTACCTAAAACATTGTCAGTCAAGAACCGCATTACAGTCGCGACGACGTATTTAAGAGGGCGTTTTCCCAGGTCGTGATAGCTTCTATCATGTGCTCGTACAACGAGGAGGATTGGGTGGAGCTGGCGCGGAAGGCGGAGAAGGCTGGCTCGGACGCTCTGGAGCTGAACCTGTCGTGTCCCCACGGGATGGGGGAGTCCGGGATGGGGCTGGCCTGTGGACAGGTAAAGTGGCTGGCGGGTACTTTAGTTACCACCCTGTTTCGCCCTCGGAGATGTGTCTTGAAAAATGAACTAGACTGATCAGTAGCCTATTCTTCGGTCTCTGGAGCATCGGGGTCTTTTTACCCGAATGCGCCAGATGGAGAGTTATGCTTTTCGAGAGTATGTATGTATTATATAATTGTTAGGCACGCTCTGCAGCCTGAACGGCTTGATGGATTTTTAGCTAATCATAAAGTTAAGTTAAAAGTTTTATAAAAATCCATTCAGTAGTATTTGCGTGAAAGAGTCATGAACATCCATACAAACTTTCGCGTTTATAATATTAGTAAGGACTTGTTGCTCATATATATGGTGTGTGTATGTATGTAATTTAGTCCACCTCTTAAGCATACGCCACGTTGAGTTCCATTCCAAACACACACTTTGCGATTGAACTCTTATCGGATAGGCACAACATGTGAATGTTTATGCTACTTTCTTTGTTTCTTTACGATCGACCGCCGGTCTCACGTCTAATGTCCATCATATGAAGTGTGTATCATCACTCAAGAGATCTTCAATTTGGTCTACCCGGTACCGTTGCCAACTTCCAGGATCCGGTGCTGGTGAAGGGGATATCGCAGTGGGTGCGCAAAGCTATCAAGATCCCCTTCTTCGTGAAGCTAACGCCGAATATAACGGACATCGTTAGCATAGCTATGGCCGCTCATGAAGGTAAGCGCTAAATTGTGCATATTTGTTATTTTCCTGGCTTCCCCTTAAACAGCACTTAAAGCTATTAGACATTTAACTTTTAGTTTTAACCTCAGCTCTTGAGATGTGTCCAATATTCCTATAAGTCCTTTTAGCTAGTAAATTTTAACGGTTGCTTTCTTTGTTGTTGCTCGCTTAATTTTTGCCGACCAGTTGTAGATTATATCCTCCGTCCATTAAACCCTTGAAATGAGACTAAATAAATAAAAACATTGTAAAAAAAGCTATATTTCAGTGTCTCCATTATTGTACCTGTGTCCAGTTGAATAGATTTAATAGATAATTTAGCTACTAATTTCGACACACAAAAATATCGCCCGAATTTCAAAATCCCACCTTAATCGCTATCAAAATATCCTGAGCGTTTTACAAAATCAAGTCCTGAGCACAATGAGTCGGTTTTGAGATCCTAACCGATTTAGTTTTTTTGCTTTCACTGCATTAGAACATTTCAGTGTTAAAAGAGTGTTTTAGGTGGAGCCAGCGGTGTCTCAGCGATCAACACAGTCTCGGGTTTGATGACCGTCAGAGCTGATGCCACACCGTGGCCTGCTGTTGGTATGTTCGCAAAGCTTTATTTTTTTCCTTCCGTGAATAAATGAACACACGTCTAACGCTACTTGCCAATAATCATAAAAAAAATTTAATTAAAAAATCCATAATTAAAAAAAATATTTTTCAAACAAACTAATTAAATAAAAGAGAAACAAAATGTGTAACATCCTATACAACTACTACTGACTGATTCATACATTCGTAGACTTTTTCATTCGGTGCCGCAGCGGTCGCATTACAAATCTCTCTTTCTAACAGTATGTTTTATCTCTTTTTAATTCATTCAACCCATTCATATGCTTTGAGACCTTTACAAATGAACTTTACACCTTGTAAGGGTGTTATAAATTGTTTGTTTGGGAAAATTTAATAACTCGGTAAAAATTGATGTTTAAAGAATGTAAATGTTTAATACAATTATAATAAGTTATCCTCTATATGTGTATTGAGTTATGGTCGCGGTAGTAGACGCTGTATAGTATATAGTATAGAATTTAATGGGCCGAAAGTTATTAAGCGGGGCAAACTGGTTAGCTTGTCTCTGCCTGTGCTAGTTTCCTTTATTTATTTATTTATTTGCATCGGATTCGAACCGCAGGCAGCGCGAAGGCGACCACTTACGGCGGCGTGTCGGGGAACGCGACGCGGCCGATGGGGCTGCGCGCGGTCTCCGCCATCGCCAACAAGCTGCCCGGGTTCCCCATCCTGGGCATAGGTGGCATAGACTCAGCGGACGCTGCCCTGCAGTTCATACTGTGCGGCGCGCCGGTGGTCCAGGTCCGTATGCGATATTAGGAGGCAGCACAAACTACTTTCTTCTTATTGTTTCCTTGATTTTACGCGAAAGTTATACATGGGGCATTCCACGCGAAGCGCGGACAGGTAAAAAAAGTTGATGTCTCCGATTTTAGTAATATTTGATTATGTTATACAAAAATACAAAATTTAGTTTACAATTTAGAGAGCTTTAAAAATGTGACTAACCGGCAGGTATGCGCCACTTCGAATCCCATTATCCGGTATTGAAAAGATAAATGGTCAAGTGTATGCTTAATTTAATGAGCTTTCTAATTGCATTTTTGGATATTAAAAAAAAATTTTTTTTTAGAAAAAAATCATGTTCAAACTTTTTAAACTTGAATTTCACAAAGTCGGACCACTTTAATTTTTTTATTTTTTTTTCTAAAACTAGTTAATAGTGTATAGATAGTCCTTGCGAAGTTGCATAATGGGCCGAAAAGTCCACCTGATGTTAAGTGATAACCGCCGCCCGTGGACATTCGCATCACCTTTAAATAAAGTGGGCCCCGGCTACCTCACTTGCCAGACGAAACGCAGAAGTGTATCACTTCTTTACGCCGATCTTGTGTTAGTTAGTGGTACTTACCCGGACATACTTGCCCATTCGTGCAAAAGTGAACACCGTTGCGCGGCCCTACCACCATGCGTGTGCGTGTATGTGTGTGTGTTTGACGATGGACCAATTTCAGTAGGCTGTCGCCATTACACTGTCCAATTGGCGATTGTCAACAGATCTGCAGCGCTGTGCAGAACCAGGACTTCACCGTGGTGGAGGACTACGTGACGGGCCTCAAAGCCCTGCTGTACCTGCGCTCGATGGGCCTGGACGGCTGGGTGGGTCAGTCCCCTCCCACCCTCAAGCATCAGAAGGGCAAAAGCGTGCAGACGCTGACCGATGCGGATGGAAAGGTAATTTTTTTTATTCTATCATTTAAAGCGGAATTAAACCGAGTTGTTGCAGGTTTTTTATGTGAAAAGTTGCCAAGCGAACAGACGGTTCACCAGATGTTAAGTGAATACCGCCGCCCATGGACATCTGCTACACCCGAGGGTTACAGATGCGTTAACAACCTCATTCCCCAGACGAAACGCGAAAGTAAACTTCCACTTTACGTCGGTGTTCTGTGAGGTCGTGGTACTTACCCGGACGAGCCTGCCCATGTGCAGCGATGTTGCCGTCTCACGAACCGTAATTTGCCAACACTTGATACAAAAATGTACGTCAACTGAACCACGCCACTTTCAGGTGTTGCCCCACTTCGGGCCGTATAAGAGGCGGCGAGATGAAATGCTCAGTACCATCCGGAAAAGCTCCGGTCAGCTGAACGGCGAGGTGGAAAGCCCAGAGTCCAATGGGACCAACGGCTACCAGAATGGTGCCCAAGTGCCCAAGATACAGGACGTGCTGGGCGAAGCCCTGCCGCGCATCGGCCCGTACAAGAAGCTAGACAACACGAAGCAAGTGGTCGCCCTAATTGACGATGTGAGCAAACTACTTTTTTTTTTTATTTCAGATGTCAATGTTGATGTGTCTCGCTAGAAAAAGATACATCAAATATACCTATCAGTAAAAATCTTAAGCAACCTTTTGGATAAGCGGGTGAAAGATACGTCAAATATACCTACCAACAACGTCCGTCCCCAAAGACTCTGACCGAAAATCTACGGAAGCATTTTAAATTGTTTCATTATATTCCCCATAAATTACTTACATATTTATTATTTTTCTCGTTTTCTGGACCACTGCCAAGAGTATTAATTTTTTTATTTCATTTTCAGGACATGTGCATAAATTGCGGCAAATGTTACATGGCGTGTGCTGACTCCGGATACCAGGCTATCGAGTATATATTTTATCTGTTGCCAATAGTCAAATGATAACAAAAATAAAATATGCGCGTTTTTAATGCCAACATACATATCCTTAAATGTTAAATTTGAGTATAACTTTTTATCTATGGTAAAGCAACGTTATAGTTTTTGCTGTTGCACGAACGGGTTGGCTCGCTCGGGTTATTACCATCTCTTAGAAAACCAACGTGAAGTATTATACTTTCGCATTTTGATGAACCGGGATATTTTAAAGGATTATAACGTCTCTAACTAAAATCACTGTACTTTCAAACGATTAATTAGCAATTTATCTCATTTTAGTACTTCCGTGCAGATTTCAGACCACAGTTAAATAGTTAGTCACTATTCGCACGCAAATAACTCTTTCAGCGTAAGGAAAGGTGAGGGCCCAGTCTTTTAAAAGATTGGCAACGATTCATACAGCTGTTTTTTTGTTAAATGTGAAAAGTTGCCAAGCGAGCAGGCGGTTCACCTGATGTTGATGAGATTAGTTCAAAACGTTTTTCCTACAGATGTAGTTTCGCATCTCGATGTTTGTCCAAAATTTATGTCTGTAAAACGTCCTTACAACACAGGATAATGTTATCCGAAAGTAAGGGCAATGTTTATATCTCGAATTACACCAAAAGTGAACAGGTTTTAGATAGTTGATACCACTAACCACCATATGGGATATTAGTCCTAGGCACTGCGCAGACCGTACTGCTTTAAGGCAAGGTTTTAATATCGCAGAACTCCAGTAGAATGATCGCCGATTGTTGAGTTTAGGACATTTCTTCTATATTTTAGGTTCGATCCCGAATCTCACATACCGCACGTGACCGATGACTGCACAGGATGTACTCTTTGCCTGTCTGTGTGCCCCATCATCGATTGCATCACGTAAGTTACAGTAGCTTTCAATTAAAATTTCATCATATTGATATATTACATATACAGATTTAATCATAAAGGTGACAGCCTTGTCGCCGTACCTCTACCACAAATATAACAGTGATATTTGAGAGTAGGAATCACGAGGCCATCGCTTACTTTATGAATATATCATATTTTACTTACTATGTACATACATACATAAGTACCTAAAAGTCACCATGTCACTATTACAGTCAAATGAAATTTGTATCGATATGGTTGGAACCAATTGTTATTTTTAATTGAAAACCGTATTGGAGTAATATCACTGTTTTGACTAATGGAGGGAGCTGGTGGATTTTCTCTACATCGATGTCTTACAGATTAAATAGAAATGCGCTTCGTATTTTTTTAAGAATCAGAGAATGCAAAGAAAGTTTAAAGTAATGAGGAATGAAAATAATATGGATAAGTCCCTAACTTAATCAAAAATGTAACAAGAACGCTACTTAATGAATGTTGTTTTTATTCAGATAACCTTTCCTAGTAATACCGGTTACTAAGCAAAAAAGTGTTAACGTTATCTCATTCGTGCATAAACAAGTTTTGCAATCGTTTCATCATTATTATCAACATTTTACTGTAATAACATAAACGCGACTGCATATTAAATGGTTAAGTTTAAAACGATCTTTCTTGTTTCAGTATGGTACCGAAGAAAATACCGCACATCATCAAAAGGGGTTTGGGCTATCAAGTGCATCCGGTATCACCGTTGGACTCTCTATGCCAATAGACAAAAAAACATTGAAAAAGATTAAATAAACATGTATATTTAAATAATCCATATAAAATAAATGTAAAGAAAAAAGTTAATTGGCGTTTAATACTCTTCTGCGTATTGAAATCGCGTTACGTTTCGCTGTGTCGAATGAGTGCGCCCATGAATTTAAGGGGTTCACGCGCAGACTGAGGGCTGACACTGGTTTCGGGCAGTCGTAATGTTTTTTGTTCACAACACTCTCTTTCACAACTCCCTTTCTCCTTCCGTGCAGCTTTTTGCATACGAAACACTCGAATTCCTCCGCCGTCTTTAGGGTGTCGCTCTGGTGAGGCCTGCGCCGAAATTCCTCCAGAAGTTTCCCGTTCGCTATCAGCGCCTTCGTTTTGTGTTCCAAATAACTCTCGTACAGACTGTCGTTGGCCATAAGTTTCGCGATGTGACCGCTCATGGCTCTCGGCGTGGGGAAGTCTTCCAGCAGTATAGCAGATTTCTCGTTGGGCAGCCAATCCCTAATGGTGGGCGACCCGAAGTATATGGGCACCACGCCCGTTTTGACGGCCCGCCAAAATTTCTCCGTGACGTAATCGTCGCAAACGCCGTTCTCTATGGCCACGACGAATTTATACCGAGCGATGAACTTGAGAAAGTCGTCGTCGCTCAGCCTGTTAAGATAGTCCTCGACGAATTCTGTTGGAATCTTTTTGTTGTTCAAACAGGCGCCGTACGAGTCGATACGTGTCAGCTTCATCAGCTCCCTTACATAGTCGTCCCTTTCTGTCGATGTTTCGCAGTCCGTCTGAAGATACATCACAGGCGCGATGTCGTGTACAAGTTTGTTCTTCTCGGAGGTAGGCAGAAAGTATTTTAGATCGGTCACGTCTCGTATCGATTGCAAATGTTGCAGGGGAAACGGAACGTCGCTGTGGCGGCTGAACGTCGACGAGTAATTAAACAGGGTCAAGATATCTTCGTGCATTATTTCCTCCACGTTTCTCGGCGACTCCTCGTGGTACAGACCCCATATTATGTCCTTGGGACGTCTTGGTAGAGGCATATCGTCGAATTTAAGTTGACTCCCATAAAACAAATACGCCTCAATATCATATAGTCTACTTACGTTTCGATTACTGTAAATATCACATTTAATTTGATCCGAACAATGTCTTGTCTCCGATGTACCAGGAAAACTTGAGGTCCACCACAGTATCACAGGGTTTCGAGTATGTCTCTCCACTACATCACTGTTCCATGTCAATATATTATACAATGTTATTAACAGCACCAAGGTCAAACACCATTTAAACAAAGTGATTTGGTAAATTCTTGAAAATATTCTTAGACATAATTTAACTATGAAACACATTATGTGACAAATGTAATTTTTTAATATTTTGCCACTTTCAGAAGACATGGTACTAGAATTTACATTATTAGTAGCAATGTAGGAGCAATTACTCTGTAGGAGGATGAGATAGGGCAGTTTCCTGTGAATGTTATCATTAAACAATATTCATTTGATGTTTAAAGGGTCTCCAATATACAAATAAAATGCCTAAAACTTTAGACCTCTTTCCTTGTTAATGTATTTTAGATCCATTACAAATGCTATTATTAGATCGATATAAAGCACTCCGTATATTGCACCAATCATTCTTCCAATAATTAAGAGATGTATCAAAGCAAAAGTTGTAACTATGAGTTGTATAATTAAATAATAAAATTCGGCCTCACTTTGAACCTGGTCCACAATGTAAAGCACCATGAACAGTAGGGCCAGCACTAGAGTTGGTGCAGATGCCAAACAATACCATGAGTCAATTGGCTCCACAATATATGGCATTATACATAGGAGAAATGCCACTCCCTAAAAAGATGATACAACACTTCATTGTTTAGACCACTTCTGTTATTAGTAAATATTTAAGAGGATTAAATTAAACTTAAGATTCAACAAAAAAAATCTTTGAGTTTTGTTTTATCTTGTATACAGATGTCACAAGTAATAATTATAGCAATTGACAAGTACTGATAAAAGAATGTAGCTTCCATTTTTATAATTAATTCTGCATTTATTTTTGTCTCTATCTCATAAGCAATGATATCTTAATGATGGTGCTTAGGAAAATTATAATAATTCATAAAGATGAAATATATATATATATATTGCATTGAATAATACCAGGTAAACTTAAAATATATTTATTAACTTAGAATATCCTTATTTACCGAAGTGAAAAATCAAAAAACCGCGGTCTTTGACTGAAAAATACATGTCAAAAAAGAGCGCAACTAAGAGGTGACAATAGAAAAGTCCATAGTACATGCCAGCGGCACTTGGCTGTATGATTACGTGTGCAATTGCCGCAGCATTTACGAAGATTTGTGTAGTCAAATACAATTGCTCAGCGTAGTCTTGAGCTTGGTCTGCTAAATATAGGACGATGAACATAAAGGACAACATAAGGGTCGGAGCAGCGGCCAAGCAGTGCCAAGTGTCTGATTCGTCCAAAGCAAACGGAAGAGTCATAAGTATCATTGAAATCACCTAAAAATAAACACACCATAACTATTCTTCATATGAGTATATTAAGGTAAATCCGCATCCCAGTAAATGCGCAAAACCAGCCTATTAACAGGTTTAAGAAATGTATTAAAGAAAAACTTTATAAAAAGGGTTATTATAATACAAATGAATACATTAATGACAATAACCCGTGGGAATGAGTTGATCGCTCCAAGCTATTTCTAAAAGAAAAAAATCAGTTGTATAATTTTTGAATTTTTTGTTAAGAAAAAAAAAATAATTACAAAAAAGAGGATACCTACGGAGTTTCTTTCGCCTGTTTCTTCTCCGCTAGAGGAACCTCATTACGAAACGGTGGTAGATTTAAAAAAAAAAATATGACTATTGATAAATGAAATGTAAGTTTCTTATGTCGATGAATAAATGATTTTGATTTTGATTTTTGAAGGTTTATGGTAATATTACTAGTTTGCATAATTTTCAAAATACACCGAACGTGTTCTGCACATAAAAATAAACTATTTGTTAGGTTATGTCCGGCATACTTGCTAACAAAAATCTCTCGATAAAACAATAAAAAAAAACAAGTACATCACTAACAAAAAAACACTTTTTCAAATCTAATTTTAGAATCAAAACATCCAGTCACCAGTAATAAAAAGTTTAAATTTTAAACTTGCTCCATCAGCTGATCTGATTGTGGCTAGGGTTGTGTTGTGGTAAACTAAACTAGTAATTGGAAATTAACATTAGTTCCAACAAATGACGAAAGCTTTTGACCTAGCATAAAAATTAAATTTAATATTATAATTAAAATTTAATATTATTATAACGAAATGTAATGGACATTAAAATTGTTATAGTGATAATCTCTGCACATAAAGTGAAACATTAAAATTTGTAGGACAACCGAAATATTGAAATGTAATGAAATTAATTCATTACATAGACAAAAATCTGTTAATGAGTTAATAAACTACAATCAAAAAAATGTCCCTCAGCTTTTCTATAAAAATCTACTGTCTTGCAGGGTTAGATAAGTAATAAGGAAAACACAAAACTTATCCGGCCATGAGCTAGTTCGCATGTATTGATCGATAACAAGTTAATAAGCCACACGTAGCAACACAACTCTGAGAAATCATTAAGTATATAATATTCGTCTTAACTCATGATGTACAAATATGCTTAAAGTATAATAGGGCCACGCATGTGTTATCTATGGCGAGGAATGTCAGCTACGGGCCATCGAGGTTCGGTACAGACCATGACCCCGATGGCCGTTGACTGTATTAATCGGTGGTTGAGGGTGGTGAGAACCACCCTGGAATTGCGCGTGTACCTTGTGTATGCGTCATGTTGATTTCGCCGTGCTTTTAGACGAGGACGAATTAATTGATTATTTGTGTTAGTACTATTTTTAGGAATAGTGTTGTCTAGCGAGTGAGTTCAATATATCTATTCCATGGATCGATTCGCCGCCCGAAAGTTTGTAAACGGTTGCGTTAATGTCGAATTGGTAATTCGCTGCGTTTACCACCAGATTATTGGAACAATTTTCCGCTTTTTCGATGAACTGTTTGATAAAATTTTGAAAATGTTCGCATAGCATCGAAATCCACTATCACTATGTGATATGAATACTACCTAGCATCGGTCGCGAGCCTTGTATAAAATACGTTTATGCCTTAATGCCCCTTTACTTGAATAATGACCTAAGCTATAGAGCCGCCCTGAAATTGACGCGGCTCTGTCTCTTATGTTTTTCATGTGTGTGGCGAATGTCATTCTGGTGTAGAAAGTGACTCTGAAAGTACTTAACCGACGGGGTGGTTAGCCCTACAATGTGATTGGCTTCAGGTTTCTGCTCGGAAGAGCTTGGGAGATTGGGAGTTAGGAGATGGCAAGATCGTGTTCCTTCATCTGCCGGACATGCCCATTAGTGTAACAGCGAAGACTGTTCCGTGTCCCTACAACAGTTAAATTATTTATCTATCAGTTGCTACGTGGTAGGCCCGAGTGAAGTGAATTTCTACACTCTTCTCAGGGTTTACGTCTATTCTCTGTTCGGAAAACTAGCCACCGAGGTGATTGGCGGCACTTAGAAGGGAAATGGTAATTTGATCAGGGCGTTTTCCCGAATAGAAGAGAGAAATGTTGTCGGCGAAAAGCAAGAGGTGTGTGAGTCATAAGAAATGTCGCTCGTTTAAGAGGAGAGGTGCTCTCAGGCTCGTATAAATAGTAAACTCAACTCTGTATTGGAAATAGCGATTCAACAGGAAGGCTAAAATGGTGTGCACGAGTCCATCTGGTACACGTGGAGTGCCAACAGTTTACAAAGCAAAAAGATTATGCCAGACATAGTCGAATGCCTTTGCGACGTTGAAGAAGGGTACCATTCCATGTATGTGTTTTTGTGATTGAGGCCTTTCAAAATGTGTTCCGATCAAGCAGAATATCTGTTCAGAACAGGAGTGAATCGATCGAAAACTGAATTGATCGGGAGGAATACAGTGGTTGCCGTCAAAAAGTCTTTCAACCTGTTAAGATTAATGCTCGAACGTCTTCCCCAAGCAATAAAGTAGGCTGACAGCAGACCTGACGGTGTTACGATCTTTCACTTTTCACACCTGATGTTAAGTGATAACCGCCGCTCAAAGACATTTACAACAACTGTAGGGTTGCAAATGCGAAATTGTACTCATCAGACGAAACACAGAAGTATAACACTTCTACTTTACGCCGGTCTTCTGTGAGGTCGTGATACTTACCTGGACCTGCCCATTCGTGTAACAGTGAACACTGTTGCGTGGCCCTACTCAGTGAGTTCACTTCAAGTTCAAGGCTTCTAACTTGGACATATTTCGGAACGGTATTGGTCGGAGCTCGTTTAGCCTTATTTTTTCCCTTATCAATGGTCGGAGATCGGGTGGAAATTTAAAGCAAAAGCGGTCGCGCGACACTTTCACCGTTCTGCAACGGCTTGCTCTCGTTCTACTTTTGTCGTCCAATGTAACTATAGTCTCGGATACGTTCTCTATGGACTGGGAGTTCAAGATCCCAGTCCATTACGTATCTGACTGGCGTTCTAGCCCAGTTTGTACCATAATAGCCTGGTTTGAATCGAATTCATGGACGGTATAAATAAAGAAATTTTGACTTTGACTTTAACTTTGAATATTTAATATACTGGGAGTTTCAAAATAGTAAATTGCATTACCTACGGAAAGTGAGTTACTAGCGTTCCTTTAATCTACAAGTAGTTATGAAAGTTACGAAGCTATGTAACTAACGGCCGTTTGTTGAATATAGGAACCGGGCATTAGTCGCGTCTAAAGAAATTTTACTTCAACTAGTACCAGCGACTTGTGGCCAGTGAGTACTACTCTGCACGCGGATGCCTCCATTTGGATATCGAGTAGGTCTACAGTGCAATAGTGGTATATTTGTCGCTAAGGCACAGTATGGGACGTTGTACTAGAACAATACGAACGGATGATTTACTAAGGAGTAGGAACAATAATAGATTAATTGATAAATATGTAATATGTGTCAAATTTTTGTATGCCTGTCATGTTACTATATAATTATAGACTGCACATAAAAGATGTTAGTCTGATTAAGGATGAAGTACTGCTGTGCAATCCATATTAGAAATTTGTTTAATATTATCTTTAAATCTTATTATGTTCAAATGCCAGTATGTTACGCATGATTACAAATAGTGGCTGAAAAATTTATTATTTACTTCACAGTCAACTCCACATTTGTCGCATTCTCTAAGCCTGAGTACTATGAACAAAGAAACCGTAAGAGTATCGAGCATTTCTATGTTTAGTATGCAGTAGGCACTACTTTTATAAACTAATATATACCTAGTAACTTAAATCATGTTTATTTTGGGAAGTAAAATACGATTGAGTGCAAAAACAGTACATTTATTAATTATTAGTAAAAAGAAACTACATATTTTATTTTATTTCTACATAATACTAATTCGCGATATATCATTGTATTTCATTTTAATAATCTTTATTTGTACATAATAAAAATCAAGCGCAACTAAACGTACACCCTCTCTCATTCGCAATTAAAAATAAATCCAATAACAATGCCGTTAATAAAGCAAAGTAAAATACTCCATATATTAACCATAACCAAACTCTACTAAGATTTAAAAGAAAACATTGTATGAAGGCTCCAAATGTAAACAAAATTTGGAAGAATAGGTACATTTTCTCCATAAACACGGGCACTTTATTACGTAAATACAATATAATGAATAAAAAAGATATTATCAGTGTGGGACCAGTTGATATGCAGTACATGTGACCATGAGGCCTTGGTATCATTAACGGTAAAAGCATGATTGTCAATGCTATGCCCTATAACGAATAATAAATATGAGACTAGGCGTATTTAACAAATAACATTTAGTTATAATTAAAATAATATTCTCAATTAAACACCAATGAATGAATGAACAATGTAAGAATCAACAGTATTAGAATCTAATGAAAAGGAACGGGTAAAAAATTGTTCTAAATATATAATCATACTTACAAATTCGACTAGTTTCATTATAAAGATATTATACGTTATTAGTTCACGCCATTTCTTATCTACTGGAACAGTATCTGCAAAATACAAAATGTTAAAAATTTATTAATTGTAGCGAAGGTTTGGTCGGGCAAAAAGGCTTGGTGTCTGCTACATTTGTGACTACAACGAGCTATATATCTCGTAAAATTATGCAAAAATCACTAATAAAACTTTATACTACATATATTTAATATAACAAGTAAATTTTATTTACCATTAATTATCATATCTGACATTTTTATTTTTATTTTTTGTAAATCTTAGTGAAAACCAAAACTGAAGTGGATATTTTAATATTTCATTACAACATCGTCAGTATAAATATGAATAATTATCGTTATACGTTTTGAAGGGAAACCAGAGAAAATAATGATCGTTAAATTCCAAAAATGTCAGTTAAAACTTCATTATTACATCAACGAAATGTCTACAAGCTTTTTTAATTATAAATTCCTAAAAGCATTATGATATAGTTTTCTTGTAAGAGAACTATAAACAATATATTGCAGTTTTTAAACGGTTTTATTTAGCTCGACCCGTACGGAATTTGTTTGTTTATTTGGGTCAAAATTAGAAATTGAAATTTAAGCACCTTCCCGTTGTTAGATTGATCTTAAATTTGGTACACACATTTAATTTAGATGACAATAAAATATTGTAGTTTTAGTATAATATTGTAGTTGCAGTGCACATAAAATAAAACCGTTTAACTTTAAAGTTTTTAAACGGTTTTATTTTAAATATCGAATTTAGTACTGACGTAAACCGTGCCAGGACGCGCTACCTTCAAAGAGAGGTCAAAGAGCGCATTTAAGAGCTAAGGAGTAAGAAATGGGACATCTGACGAAATTTGCAGCCAAGTGATCAAAACTCTCTCTGCCCATTTGAATAATATTGGTGGTATACAATATGCTTCTTCACAGCTGCATCTTCCTCGATATCTGGTAGGAAATGCATACAATCGGCATCCTTAGGTTGACTAAGCGCAGATACCTAGCGTCGAACTACCGACCCAAAAGTCATCTCTCCGGTCTCCCCTATGAGGAAAAATTAGGAACGTATTATTAACATTAAATAGTATACCCAACAAGCAGTTTGGCTCCGTCTTAAAAAGCATATACTCTCAAAGCGTCATTTTAAGGGCTATCGAAGAGACGTGATAGTTATTTATTTATGTTTAATTTATATATCTTCTAACAAATTGTTTTATTTTGGTCCGGGTATGTCAACTTGTCAAGTATGATGTTCTAACTACTGTAAAAAAGACTCTAACGGGCAATTATATCACTTACTGTCTGTTTTATTCAACCTTAACATAGGCAGAATCATCAAGCTTTCCTTGATGAAGCCATTATATTAAAAATTAAGTCACACACCATATAACTCAAAGTCAAAGTCAAAGTCAAATCTTTATTCAATATAGAAGCATTCACTTACTTATTGATAGTCAAAAAACTCTACCACCGGTTCGGAAGGTAAGCCACTGACCTGAGAAGAACCGGAAGAATTGCTTACTAAATTATTTAAAAGTGAGTCTGTATGTGTTAAATCATCGCATGATCAAGTCTCATTGTTTTACTAAATAAATTCGGGATTTAATCGTTTGGCGTTAGTATATCTCGTGATTTCACGATACGATTTTTGTGCCCCCTTGTTGGTCGGATTGTCCATTATTCATTAACAAAGGTGGCGAGGATGCAGTGGGGCGGATGGCGTTAGTGTGTCGTCGTCGTGCACCAGCTACTTTGTTTCTACTTAATGTAGGGTTCTTTTACCCAGGGATCTCTTCCAACGAACTTGTTAAAGTGGCCGCGCGAACTACACTCACAAAGAAAAGAGATATTACGGTCATTCACACATTTATGTACAGTGGCAATCTCGTGAAACCATAATTACCTACATGTTCCTGAATGTCATTATTGTCAATTTGTCACATTTCTTTAAATGTCACACTATTGTCAGAAGTGGTCAGAAGTCAGAATATGATGGTGGAACGTCCACAGTAGTGCCGCAATAGTTTTATAATTTTTCTGATATGCTTTAGTTTTAACGTCGACCTTTAAACAGGTAATATAATGGAAGAGGACGATCCTGTCGTTCAAGAGGTAAAATCTTCTCTGTTTTGTTTTACTTATTGTATTGTGAGTAAGGTTATGTTATTCCCTATTTCAAGTAAGGTTTAAAGCTTTTCTGTGTTTTCTGATTGCAGATACCGGTGTACTTGTCTCAGGCATTAGCTGATAACTTCTATATTTTTCAATACCCGGTAAGGCCGGCGAATAGGGATTGGAAGGATGTTAAAGTAAGGAACGCGTCAATTAAGCCTAAGAACCAGATAGTGAGGCTTGAAGTTGATCTCGACACCTATAGTGATAGATACTGTCCATCTAAGGGAGAACAAATTGCTCTTAACACCGATGGCCAACAGGTGATACAAAATATGCAATTTCTTTTAATATCAAATTTTCCATGCTCACCAGCAGGGCTAGATTTAGAGGTCTGGAGGTCTCGGGGGCAACAAAGGAGTGGAGGCCTTTTGCCCCTGAATTATTTTCTATTGATTTCTGTTAGTACTTAATTTAATCATGTTTGTTCAAAGTACTGTAGGTAAAATTAAAACATGAAAAAAAAAATATGCAAGATAAAGTTGTTTACAATTGTTTACTAGTCGGAATTTGAATTTTTTTTTCCGAAGTCTATTGTGGGGGCTCCTCGTTTGCGGAGGCCTGGCCGGCTCTTGCCCTGGTTGCCCTTCCCTAAATCCGGCCCTGCTCACCAGTTAAATATTTTGGGAATCGAACCCACGTCTTCTGCATTCGCACCTTGACGCTTTAGCGACTAAGCTAAACAGCTGATTGCTTTCTTAATTTCTCATTAATAAACTATATTACACAAATCCACAGGAAACCAGCTATCATTCCAGAGATAAAGAAAAAGAGAAATCCAAATATTTTAAAAATGGTATCATGGACAAGATTGTCTATGAAAGCAGCGTACCATGCTTGGAGACACAACATTATGCTGTAGCTCTGTTGCAAGATAAGGAGCTCCACTGTACTCCTGTAAAAGGTTTTCTAATTGAAATATTAATTCAGTATTATAACTTTCTTATTCTATACTTAAATGTTAATCTGTAGTTGTATTACACAGGTATCATTCAATTGCGGCCATCTTGCAGTTTTTACGATAAGCAGGATAAAAAAAAACATGACAAATCAAAGACTGAAAATTCTGATGATGAGGAGAAAGAACCAGAAGCAAAGCAGGTATTACCTCTGTTTCATTAAAAACATATCTAGGACAAACTAAGTAAGAGACATGAATAAAGTTGGATCAGCTTTTTTCATGAGACTGTATCACCCTTTTCTTTATTGAACCATGATTTATATTCTGTAATGACTTGGTTTTGTTACTGAGGCACAAATGTCTTACATGGGGATTAATAGAAGCATTTCTGTTGAACAGGTTACGGTAAAATTCGCACGACAAGAAACCGAACTGGCGAAAAAAGCACGTGAAAAGTCATTTGAAACAATATCCCAGCGCATTGCTGATGAACCTTGGTATGAAGGATTATGGAAGCCAGCTGACAGTGACTATGCAGAGGTATGTAGAAATTAGGGTTTAATATTTTTTCTAAATAATTGTGGATTATTTTCAATAGATATGTTAATGTTCACTCACACGCATTTAATTTAAACTCCTAATGTAGTGGCTTTAATATTTATTTACAAATAAATGCTTTAAATTTTGTATTTAAAGCATGAAAGAAAAGTTTTAATCAGAATCTAAGACTTCAGTCCCGCTCATTTCTGCATCACACTGTCTGACTAGTCATCGTCAAATTCACTACTAGGTATTTTCTTTTTTTTTAAAAACATTACCCTTTAGGATAAAATGAGTTTCACCCTGACTTTTAAATGAATACATTTTAAAAAGCAGAATGCAGAGGCAGGTCTTTTTTGTTTGAATTGAAATTATGTGATTTATTTAGTTGCACTTCTTTTTCACTACTTTCTTTTTGATAGGCCACAAGATAAGAACGATATTAAAGAAAGACCTTTAATTTTTAATCCGCCGTTTGCCGTTTGCAGTTGGAACGTCTTAAACTGTTCAGCGCCAACACTTCGGATGGTTCCTGCTTGACCATGCCACACGGGGAATACGTGCGATCACTGGTCCCTCCCCCGCCCCCTGACGAGGCAGACGTACAACCCTCTAAGCAGCTCACTCTTCAAGAGCAGATCAAGGAGATACTCATCAGCGGTGAGTAACATTTGTAATTTACTGCGGTAAATACACAGCTTCTATTACATAAAGCGCCTTGAGATGAACTAAGATTTTTCAGTGCCTTCGAGTAAAGTACAAGTATTTAGTCTTTACATAGATAACTGGGCAGTCATCTTAAAGATTGGCAATGTTCTTGCAACCTCTATTAAGGCCCATTACATATGTACTTTATGAACTTTTCTTAGGAAAGAAACTTCATTATTTATGTAGTATCCTTGCTTGAAATGAAGTCATATTGTCACTATCCTGCGTAAATAAAATTAATATTGGTGGTCATCAAATCTTTCATTATGAAGGAGGGAGAAAAAATATATAAAGAGATTTATCATTCTTATTTAAATACTAGAAGTCATGAGACAGGTTTCTCAATGAATCCTCTTATTGAGCAGTAATGGGAGGTAGCAAGCACATTTCAAAAATCTGCTTGTCATAGAACTATCTCCTGATTAGCCATTCCATGGTTGTTTTCTGGTAAGAGCTGCTCTTGAACATGGTATGCATAGTTCTAAGCTTTTGGGTGTATATAAATAAATAAATTAATATCACGCGGACAAACACCCAGATGCGAAAGGTCTATCTGCGGGTGACACAAATATTTGTCGCGTTCGGGAATCGAACGCATGACCCCTGACGCTGAAGCTAACACCTTGGCGACCGTGCCACGGGTAATCAAAGATCTGGAGCTCGCAGTTTTGTGTAGCGCTGTGTTTTGAACTCGCAGCCAAACTGATGACGTTCGGCGAGCTGCGCGCTCGTATCCAGGGCGGCACGTGCGAGGGGGCGCTGCTGAGCGCGCTCGGCGGCGCCGCCTGCTGCGTGCGCGGCCTCTGGGCGCCGCGCTCGGCCGACCTGTACACGCGCCCCGCCCCCGCCCCGCCACACCTCATGTGCGCGGCGAGGGACCACGTGGTGGGTACCGCACTAGTTAACCAAGTTTATTTTAATACAACTTTATTAAAACATATCACCATCTTATGATTTTATTGCACTTTAAGTGCAACAAAATAACTTGTTGGGTGTAATACACCTTTGGTCCTTCGAGCCGGATTCGATAACTCGAACCGCCATCCCGTTAAACATTCAACCCTTGTCCATCGAATGAAACCACCCTCCCGCTTCCAGCTGTACCTGTTCACGCAGCACCCGTACGTGGACCGTCGCAAGGTGGCGGCGGTGGTCCGGCTGCCGGCGGCCGACGTGCTGGAGGTGATGCGGTCGGTCGCGCGGCAGACGGACCGCGGCTGGGAGCTGCTGCTTCCGCCGGACGTGGGGTTCGAATCCCGCCACCCGGACGTGGTGCGGCGGCAGAACGCGTACTGGGAGGCGCGTAGGCGGCAGTTCGGAGAGGCGCTGATGGCGGACGCGCCGCGCCGCCAGCGCAAGAAGTCGCAGCGCGACTCGATAGGGTCGGACGACGACGAGCGACGCCGCATGAGGGCGAAGTGCGCGCCCGGCTCGGGCAAGCGGACGAGGAACGCCAGCTCGGGCAGCCATGACGCCACGTGACAAGCGCACGTACCGAATGCCTCACCCGTTGTAAAGTAAAAAAAAAAACCAATGCCTCAGCACCTGTTGTGCTGGCTCCAAATGCCTCAGCACCTGTTGTGCTGGCTGCGAATGCCTCGGCGTCCGTTCTGCTGGCTCCAAATGCCTCGGTTCATGATAACAGTGATGTGATCGTTTCCCGGACTTCCCCAATCTTGTACATAGGAGAGTGTGAAGTGTATTTGAAGAAGCGTTAGCGGCTAGTGTTATGACATGATGCGACTTGATGAGATCAGTGTGATGTGCTTATAGTGATGTTGTTGTAGTTTATTATATGAGATCAGAGGATTACTATAGGCACTGTAATATATAATCCTAGCACTAAGTGGTTGTACTGTATGTTTGGTATGGCGGTCATATTTCCTATAATTGTGATCTGTTTTGTATAATACTATTAATATTTGGGTCAGTATTTGAATTTAACTTTTTTATGATTTTTTTGTGATTATAAGCCAGCAAGAAATTCTATTGTTTTTTTTTATTAAGTGGCAAGCGACTGGCGGTTCACCAGATTTTAAGTGATTGTCCGTCGCCCATGGACATCTGCAAATTAGGAATGCAGATGTCTTACCGCCTTTTTTTAAAAAGTCGGCCTTCGTCACCTCATTGACTATTGATGAGTATGCAGAAGTATGGCATTAACTTTTCACGATAGTCTACTGTGAGGCCGTGATACTTACTAGAACATTTACCGTAACCCATACGTATAATAGCAACAGCCGCTGCATTGTCGCAGTGAACGCAATTACCACAACATGTGAATATTTACAACTCCTTTGGGGTTTGGAAGGGGTTTTTAAAGATTTTGGTTCCAGTTAAATCACTCACTACTCATAAAAGTATTGGTTCTTCACTGAACAAGCCTACTGCAATAGCAGAGGCTGATGCCTGACCCTACTATAGTGAAAGCCCTAAGAAAGTTCTATAAGATATCACCAATGCATTGGAAATCACATTAACTTTATTGTGTAAACAATAAGCAGTATCATCAATGTTTTTATATAATTTTTTTTGTATGAATCCTTAAAACTGTTCTGAAACACAATAAAGTTAATTTTATTACAAATGTATAGTTTTTGTATAAATGTGTAGAATACATTCATGTCCACTAAAAAAAATACATTTGTGTCCGCAAATTAAAAATTGTATGAGAGATGCTATTTATGTAAATCATCTAAAAAAGTTTTAAGACTACTAATTGAACCAGATTCAAGTAGACAATTGTAAACAAAAATTCAAAAAAATATTTGTATATGCTGGTGAAGTTCACATCACAACCTGCCAGTATAGAAGCAAATACTCCATAAATCAAATGCTGGCGAAATAATAGAAAATATACAGTTGCATAAAAATGCATTGTAAAGGTACATGCAAAATTATGTATTTATTTGGTTTATTATGTTTACTTTTTAATAAAAAAATTATCATTTAGCATGAAAAAACATTGACTTCAACAATATAAATTGGGTTAAAGTCACAATAGCATATTAAAACTAAAAATCATTGGAATGTACATATTTTTAACTTTGTACAGGATTGTTTATGTAATTGTATTGTCTCTTACAATAGACAATTATACTGTTTTAAAATATAGGAAAGCCTAAGATTTACGGAATGCATTTTTAAAACTTATAAGTTTATGTTACTTTGCTTATTGTTAAAGATTTGAGTGCATGTGTTGTTATGTATTTCTTTATTTAATTTATAAGGTGTTCTTTTTCTGTCAAAGCCGTGGCCCTGTATGCCAAATAGTCGCTTAGATTGCCAGCATAATACCTCTAAAAATCCATTTAAAATTTTGTCGGGTTTAAATGTTTTGGGACATTAAATTTCTTACAAGTATTGGCATTTTCTTGGTTAAAAATCAATGTTGCTGTGTATTCCATTAAATAAAGCACAAATATTTTTTTCATAATATGATCAAAAAGGATAAAGAATTCTTAATAAGGAAACCTTTTCCTTTTTTCGATATTTATTTTCGGAGCAATAAAATTACTCAGAATATTCTTTGTCGTTTAAATACTATTTGTAAATAAAACACATGTAACCATTGTTAATATTAAACAATAGAAAATAAAGTAATTTTAATAAAAAAGATTGAATAAGTACAGATATGTTGATTCTAATATATGTAAAGTAATATATTCATATTGTTTCTCATCAGATCTTATGTGAATCCAATAGTTGTTCCTCATTACTTCTTTATTTTATTTTTCTATCTCCCTTTATTTTTGACATAATAAATTAACGATAAAACTACACTAGTGAATGTGATTTTGTATATATGTTGTTATTTTTTAAAGGAATTAAAATTATTCAAAATTTTCATACATCGTTTTTTTTTTTTGGAAAGGAGGACAATGAGCAGTCGGGCCACCTGATGGTAAGAGTTCACCACCGTCCATGGACACTCGCAACACCGGAGGTGTCACAAATGTGTTGCAAGCTTGCAAGCCTTGAATAAGGAATAGGCATTCTTCTTAAAGACCCCTAATAATAGTAATAATAATAATCTTTATTTGCCTTTAAACTGGGTAATTAAGAATTTGGTTTACATAATTATTGAACTCCAAGTTCAGCCATAATATATGGCATGCAAATATAATAGTCTAATGCCTAAGTCGTACCAGTCTGGTAAAACCATTGGGAAAAATTGAGTCCAGTCCAGAACATAGTTATGCGTAGCGGAAAGTAACGTGAGAAACGCAGTGGTGGGATGACGTCGAGGTGGTAATTGGCAGTTTGCCGCTTTATACGTTGGTGAAACTTAGCAGCAGGCAGGTTTGCTTTCTATAAGAGAGAAGGGGAGACAGACAGAGAAACATGCGCACGCCGCACAGCTTACAATAGCTTACTATAGCAAAAAGTGTCGTACAACTTTTCGTGAGATTTTTTTCCGTCTAGACCCCTTTCACAACGCGCGATAAGGAACTTCGTTCCAATAATCTTTGTATCCAGCTCAGAAATAAGAGCACTACTCCATGTACGCCCGAATTTGCGCTTTGTAGAGCTGCAGGCGATGGGACGGCAGAAGTGATCCAAGAAGAGCCGATTCGATCATACGGGGTTTAGGGATGTGGCTGGTGTATAGGGTACGTCAGCGAAAGTACCTGTACATGGGAAAAAGTGATTTCAAGTTACTGTCCTTCTGGGAGTCGCCAATTGTGGAAAATAAAAAGCAACATATATAAAAAAAAAAAACATTTATTCACTTATATAAAGCATAAACGAATATTCTAGTAACAAAACGCTAACACATTGATAGTTTTTTTTTATAAACTAAAACTCAAAATTTAACAAACTGTATAAAACTTGTAAAATAGATTTTCGAATAATTAAGAAAAATGTGACAGTTATAACAAATATTAAAAATAAAAAACCTTTAACAATACTTTTGTTTTAACATAATAACCCAATATAAATAAAATATAGAATATAACTCTAAATCTTATTTTTTATTTGAATTTTAAAATACCTAATGTGATAAAACTTATTAAGGTGGAAAAACATATTTAGTTAGTTTATTATTTACAATACAAGACAATGTAAAATTAATAAAGCTTAACGAATTATTGAATTTTAGTGCATCATTTTATTTTTATTTAGTGTTACATGACCATAATTTTATTTTTTTATGCAATGGCCTTGTTGTGCTCGATAATGTAGTGGAAGAATGTAGGTTTATTTATTAGTGATTTAGTAAAAGGCCAACAAATGCCGTCAGTGTCAAAACGACAGCTGTATAACTTTTGGCATTTGAAGCGCTATTGCAGAAGTCTAAGCTGCAGGTGTCTGCGATCGGGCCGAATTTGTTCTTGACATAGTTCCAGTCGCAGAGACCGACGCGGCATCCGTCTAGATTCATTGGTTTCTCGTTCTCCAGGAAAAGCACTTGGTACTCGCCTTTCACCTGGAAGTTGCCATCTTGCGAACACCTGGAAGTGGATTAGATTTCATAACGTGACAGCGCAAGCGATATTTTTATATATTTTACTGCTCATATTAATAAATTTGGTTTTGGTAAAAAAGTAAATAATTACGAGTATTATTTAATTTAAAACATATTTTATTTGTGTGCAAGAATTTTCAACATTTTTTATAAACATATGTGTCACAAATTGAAAGAAAAATAAGTATTTAAACTACACTACACTTATTTCATAAGTACAATAAGCGGAAAATATTTAGTAACTATACGCCATTCCTATAAGCGAATAACGCGAATAACGCAAGCAATCCCTACTCCGTAAGAAGAGATTATTTATACAGACAAGTCTATTTTTTATTATTAACCCATTAACAAAGCCGACTTCAAATATCTCGCTCTGTATTCATTTTATAATTGATTTTCAAGAGATCCCTAAGTATCTCCGGAGCCCAAGATCCAATAGCAATGAAATTAACATGGGACCACACGGGAAGCACCAGCCTTCAAATAAAAAAAAATCATCAAACTCAGTCGAAAAGTACTGAGGTAACAAACATAAAAAAAAATACAGTCGAATTGAGAACCTCCTCCGTTTTCATAGACGGTTGTAAAGCGATTTTTACAGATTATTTATACTCCATTAACGCGAGTTCGATTTAAGTAAAACGACCGTTAAAAGGATAATCTTAAGTCTTACGCATACCGATACAGACATTACCGACGTATCAGAAGTGTAACTATAAAGTATGTTAACAATGTAACAAAACTTGTAAGTTAAATAGCAATCTTGTGCCAATGACTATAATTGTTCAATTATAGTCATTGGCACAAGATTGCTATTGTAACACTCAGTTCAACGCCGACAAAAAAACTTACAATAAATGTCTATGGGCAGGGGTTATCACTTAACATCAGGTGAACTGCCATCTCGTCTGCCGCCTTCTCACATTAAAAAAAAGTTTATACGTATAAATTAGCTTATATATCAGCACACTTTATACACGGCACTGTAGGTAAAATTCTGATTTCAATAAATTGTCGTTATAGCGGTAGCAGAAATATCTGTGAAAATTTCAACTGTTAACTATGACGGTTCATGATACAGCCTGGTGACAGACAGACAGTGAAGTCTTAGTAATGGGTTACCCTTTAGGTACGGAACTTTTGACGACCCGAATGGCGTAGTGGGTAGTGTACCTGCCTCCTGCGCCAGAGGGTGTGGGTTCGATCCCCACTACTGGAAAAATATTGTGTGATGAACATAGTGTTTTTCTAGTGTCTGGGTGTTTATATATGTATTTATTTACAAAAGAAAAGTACGTTTAATTATGTTGATCAGTTTTCTAGTACCCATAGTACAAGCGTTTCATAGTTTGGGACTAGGAAATGTTGTGTAAGAAAATGTGTCCTAAAATATTTATTATTATGGGGGGATATTCATTTGTTTTCTCGTCTGGTTGGGTTTATAGATAAAAAATCAACATATAGATATATATTGCATATATAAAATAAATATTATGAATAAAAATAAACACATAGATGTAAATATTGTATATAATACATATATAAATAGGACCCAACCAGACGGAAGCCCTCGGCAGGGGAGACCAAACGGCCGAGGGTTAGGGCGAAAGGGGGAGAAACCGGCGGACGATGCGGGACGGTATTATTATTATTACCTCGAGCAACGCACTCACCTGTACAGGACGGCGGCGAGGTTCGCGCTGAAGGGCGCGAGCAGGGAGGCGCGCCAGTTGCGCGCGCGCGCGGCCTGCGAGCGGAAGTTGTCGCCGGTGGGCGGCGCGCCCGAGCCGCGGCCCAGCGCGTTTAGCGCCAAAAGCAGGCCTTCGCTGTCCACCAGATGCACCTGCGCGCGCGGCTGCTGCGGCGTGCCTGCATCGCCATTATCATTTCAGACGCTGCCTTTGTCGCTCACGCTATTACGTAAATTGCCTATCATCTTTTCCGCTATTGCCATTAGCGGCTGCTGCGGCGTGCCTGCATCGCCATTATCATTTCAGACGCTGCCTTTGTCGCTCACGCTATTACGTAAATTGCCTATCATCTTTTCCGCTATTGCCATTAGCGGCTGCTGCGGCGTGCCTGCATCGCCATTATCATTTCAGACGCTGCCTTTGTCGCTCACGCTATTACGTAAATTGCCTATCATCTTTTCCGCTATTGCCATTAGCGGCTGCTGCGGCGTGCGTGCATCGCCATTATCATTTCAGACGCTGCCTTTGTCGCTCACGCTATTACGTAAATTGCCTATCATCTTTTCCGCTATTGCCATTAGCGGCTGCTGCGGCGTGCCTGCATCGCCATTATCATTTCAGACGCTGCCTTTGTCGCTCACGCTATTACGTAAATTGCCTATCATCTTTTCCGCTATTGCCATTAGCGGCTGCTGCGGCGTGCCTGCATCGCCATTATCATTTCAGACGCTGCCTTTGTCGCTCACGCTATTACGTAAATTGCCTATCATCTTTTCCGCTATTGCCATTAGCGGCTGCTGCGGCGTGCCTGCATCGCCATTATCATTTCAGACGCTGCCTTTGTCGCTCACGCTATTACGTAAATTGCCTACATTCTTTTCCGCTATTGCCATTAGCGGCTGCTGCGGCGTGCGTGCATCGCCATTATCATTTCAGACGCTGCCTTTGTCGCTCACGACTATTACGTAAATTGCTATTACGTAAATTGCCTATCATCTTTTTGTCCGCTATTGCCATTAGCGGCTGCTGCGGCGTGCGTGCATCGCCATTATCATTTCAGACGCTGCCTTTGTCGCTCACGCTATTACGTAAATTGCCTATCATCTTTTCCGCTATTGCCATTAGCGGCTGCTGCGGCGTGCGTGCATCGCCATTATCATTTCAGACGCTGCCTTTGTCGCTCACGCTATTACGTAAATTGCCTATCATCTTTTCCGCTATTGCCATTAGCGGCTGCTGCGGCGTGCCTGCATCGCCATTATCATTTCAGACGCTGCCTTTGTCGCTCCATTAGCGGCTGCTGCGGCGTGCGTGCATCGCGCTGCCTTTGTCGTCGCTAAAAATTGCCTATCTTCTTTTCCGCTATTGCCATTAGCGGCTGCTGCGGCGGCTGCTGCGGCTGTTTGCGCTGCATCGCCATTATCATTTCAGACGCTGCTGCGGCGTTGTCGCTTATCATTTCAGACGCTGCCTTTGTCGCTCACGCTATTACGTAAATTGCCTATCATCCTTTTCCGCTATTGCCATTAGCGGCTGCTGCGGCGTGCCTGCATCGCCATTATCATTTCAGACGCTGCCTTTGTCGCTCACGCTATTACGTAAATTGCCTATCATCTTTTCCGCTATTGCCATTAGCGGCTGCTGCGGCGTGCCTGCATCGCCATTATCATTTCAGACGCTGCCTTTGTCGCTCACGCTATTACGTAAATTGCCTATCATCTTTTCCGCTATTGCCATTAGCGGCTGCTGCGGCGTGCCTGCATCGCCATTATCATTTCAGACGCTGCCTTTGTCGCTCACGCTATTACGTAAATTGCCTATCATCTTTTCCGCTATTGCCATTAGCGGCTGCTGCGGCGTGCCTGCATCGCCATTATCATTTCAGACGCTGCCTTTGTCGCTCACGCTATTACGTAAATTGCCTATCATCTTTTCCGCTATTGCCATTAGCGGCTGCTGCGGCGTGCCTGCATCGCCATTATCATTTCAGACGCTGCCTTTGTCGCTCACTCTATTACGTAAATTGCTATTACGTAAATTGCCTATCATCTTTTCCGCTATTGCCATTAGCGGCAGCTGCGGCGTGCCATGCCATTAATTTCGCCGTTGCCAATGAAGACATCGTCATTACCTTCGCTGCCTTTGTCGCTCACGCGCTATTACCTAAATTGCCTATCATCTTTTCCGCTATTGCCATTAGCGGCTGCTGCGGCGTGCCTGCATCGCCATTATCATTTCAGACGCTGCCTTTGTCGCTCACGCTATTACGTAAATTGCCTATCATCTTTTCCGCTATTGCCATTAGCGGCAGCTGCGGCGTGCCTGTAACGCCGTTGCCAATGAAGACATCGTCATTACCTTCGCTGCCTTTGTCGCTCACGCTATTACCTAAATTGCCTATCATCTTTTCTGCTATTGCCATTAGCGGCTGCTGCGGCGTGCCTGTAACGCCGTTGCCAATGAAGACATCGTCATTACCTTCGCTGCCTTTGTCGCTCACGCTATTACCTAAATTGCCTTTCATCTTTTCTGCTATTGCCATTAGCGGCTGCTGCGGCGTGCCTGTAACGCCGTTGCCAATGAAGACATCGTCATTACCTACGCTGCCTTTGTCGCTCACGCTATTACCTAAATTGCCTATCATCTTTTCTGCTATTGCCATTAGCGGCTGCTGCGGCGTGCCTGTAACGCCGTTGCCAATGAAGACATCGTCATTACCTTCGCTGCCTTTGTCGCTCACGCTATTACCTAAATTGCCTTTCATCTTTTATCGTCATCGTCATTCTCTATATTGTCTTTCCTTTGCCACTTTCGCCATTTTCTACATTGACTTTGCAATTACCACCATCGTCATTTCCCACGTTATCTTTACCTTTGCCACTCTCATATACTCAAACGATTCAAACCCCGGTTTATTTTAAGTGCCTAATCAGCGGTGAAGGAAATCACCGCGAGAAAGCCTGCATGTTTTCGAATTAATAACAAAAAAATATTTCGAAAATACAGGCTATTACTACTATATAGGCTATTACTTTAGTCTAGTTTTTTTACCGTGTTCGGCGTGTTTCTTCAGGAAGTCCATCATGTCTTTGACGGTGGTGCAGCCGAGCTTCTCGTTCAGCGGGGACCCGGGGCCGTATCTGTAATATGTTTCCAGGTCCTCCGCGTACTCCAGCCTTTGCAGGTCCTCCTTGGTGAACGGCTGGAAATCGATCGTCAAGTTTAACGGCACGCGCTCGGCGAAAATACGAAAAAGGCCCACCGTTCGTTAATTGACTTTAGCCTTTTAACTTTTGCGCATCATTTCCTCCCAAAGATTGTTTTTAGGCGTACGATTTATTTGGAGTCACATTTCGCACTATCCTTAGATATTGGTACTGGACTGGCAATCGCAGTGTGGGATGACCCGGACGCAACAGTATTCACTGTTGCACTATTGGGCAGGTCCGTCCGGGTAAGTACCACGACCTCACAGAAGACCGGCGTAAAGTAGAAGTGTTACACTTATGCGTTTCGTCTGGTGAATGAGGTAGCTGGGGCCCACTTCATATAAAGGCAGCAATGAATTTGCAACCGTACGGATGTTGTAAATGTCCATGGGCGGCGGTCATCAGTTAACATCGGGTGAACCGCCAGCTCGTTTGGTATTTTCTCACAAAAAAAGGACGATATCTGCCCAGTCAAGACCACGCCATTTAAATATTTAATTGAGTTTGACCCGTGCGAGTACTCACAGAGCACCACGGCGAAATCTGCGCAACGTTCCAGGCCTTGTCGTAGCTGCACATAAGGTACATGGAGTCGACGAACTGCTTCTGCACGTCGTAGTTGAAGCCGAGCCGCCTGGATATGTTGCTGATCATCTGAGACGCGACACGAATCGTAATGTAAATCCTCACTCATCATTACTAATGTTATAAACGCGAAAGATTTGTATGTATGGATGGATGTTTATTACTCACGCAAATACTACTGAATGGATTCTAATGAAACTTTACAATAATATAGCTTACACATCAGAATAAGACAGGCTATAATTTATACAGCGTGTCTTTACAATCGCGACAATAAATGAACACGCATATAGAGGATAACTTTCTAAAATTGTATTAAACATTTTTAAAAATCAATATTTACAGAGTTATTAAATTTTCCAAAACGTATAAAACTGTAACGTAAAGTTCATTTGCAAAGGTCACAAAGCATATGAATGGGTTGAATGAATTTAAAAGAGTCAAAACTTACTGTTAGAAGGAGAGGCTTGTAATGCGTCGCCGTGGCAACGAATGAAAAAGTCTCTATACAAGCCTCTCCTTCTAACAGTATGTTTTGTCTCTTTTAAATTCATTCAACCTATTCATATGCTTTGTGACCTTTACAAATGAACTTTATGTTACAGTTTTATACGTAAGGCTATTCTAAAATTGTTTGTTTTGGAAAATTCAATAACTCGGTAAATATTGATGTTTAAAGAATGTAAATGTTAAATACAATTTTAAAAAGTTATCCTCTATATGCGTGTTCATTTATTGTCGCGGTGGTAACGACACGCCGTATAAGTGAATGTGACAAACGATATCGAACGTATGATACGGAAAGATATAGCAATTTATAGAATAGCAATCCAATTACACCAATTGGCGTAATTATAGCGCATCAGTTATGATGCGCTAGTGTCACATCTACATTATGATTGATGTTTGCGCTTTCAGTCCGCAAATTTCGATTTTGATTTTGATTAGCGTTGCGAAAGGATATTAGTACCTACATTAGCTACGACTGGAACACTCTCTGCCATTAATCGGGTAGCAAAAATTAGTTTGATAACGTTGCATTTGAACAATTTATTTTTTATGTATTCCCTAGGCAGGAAAGCGATTACTATTGTAAGAACGTTGTCAGCGTTAGCCAACAGTTACGGTACTGTGGTTCCTGTGTTATGCATTCAATTTCATAATTTCAAACAAACCCAACTCGAGATAGCTGAGATCTTTCTCTAGAACTTAAAAAAACTGAATTTCATTTTCTCAGGGCAGTGGTATTAGAATCACATACCTAAAATTGAAGGGCTGTGATAATTATGAACGTTATTTTAGTTTTTACGTGTTTATAACGATGTAGGATAGTAATTTGCAACGATGTTATAATGTAATTAAAAATAATTAATATAAAAAAAGTAATTAGTAATTTAAATAATTGAATACGTAACTCGATTTCACTTTCAGCGCCTTTTACACATTTTAATTTATTAACATAATCATCTCTAGTTACAAAAATACCGACTAAATTAGTCGCAATCACTGATATTTATTATGAAGGCTAATAAAAATACGCGTTTCGCATTAATTGGCATAAAATTCGCTTACTTCCGATACTGCCATAAATACTAAACTTGTCAAAGTCATTTAATGTAATTGAAACGCATTAACGGCTGCTTCCGAGTGCCGCCTGAGTAACATATAATGGAATGAAGATTAACAATCCAATCACTCACTTCTTTGTACTCCTGTTTGGACTCGAATGTAATCCGCTGCGTTAAAGTATCGTTATTCTCTCCGACTTCCCTCAACCACGCCGAGCAGAACTTGTATGGCTGGAATAAATAAATATTCAGATTTCTCATTATTCTCCTGTTCAGAATACTAAAACTAAACAAAAGAAAACTACTTTTATAATTAAATTTGGCTACACTAATTGAAGTATTTAGCCATAAGATGTAGTAGGTACTTAATGTTAAAATTTTCAATTTTATGATTTTTTTGGTCGATGGTGGATTTAGGATACAAGGTTATCAGCGAAAAAAGGATTTTAAATATTAAATCATTGTTATGTTTATTCTATCTTTTGATGACTGAGAGTCGCATTCGATAAGCTATGAACTTCGGCGTCGGGGGTCGTGGGTTCGAATCCCAAACGGGGCAAGTTTGTGTGACCCACAATAAGTGGTTCAGGTGTATATTTCCGGAGAGCAAATACCATTAACAACCTGGTTCACATGTTGTGACAATATGTGGGCCATGTCGTGCTATCTAGGTGGAATAAGAGTAGGAGAAAGAAGCTAAGTTTAAACCATAATTCACTGGGACGTGCCTGTCGGATTCCTTGCAGAATAAACCACAGCGAGAAGTATCAACCATTAAAATCTCACAGGCGGTTGTAGTAGCAATTTTAGCAACGACAAAAATATAACCTCAAATACTAACAGTGTTGGCGACGCACGTATTATAATGTAAATACTTTTTTTTAGATTCTTTATTTTCATGTATTAGTTTTATTAAATTATTCATTGTTAATACATACTTATATAAATTACTAATATAAATTATAATTTATAGTAGAAGGTAGTTCGCAAAATGTCATTTTAATTATGTAAGGTACATGTAATAGTAAATGGTTATTGCATCATCCTTCCCACCTATATATTGGGCGGGCAGTGACCCCGCTCTCGCTCTGTTCGTCCGCTTTTGTAGTGTGCACATACGGTTTCGTTACGTCGCAACGGTTGTAATTATTTTTCAAGTTTGCTAATAAACGTCCAGTTCAACATAAAGCCGTGTTCATTAATTTAGACTCGCACCCTGTTCAAACAGTTAATTTGAAGATTACATTAGAACTGAACAAATTCCCTTCTAATGATGCTATTTGCAATAACTTAATGACGTGTATCCGTGCACGACTGCCGTCTCTTCACTTCTTGGTTTAGTTAACTTCTCTTTGTTTATTCATTTATAGTGGTAATCTTTATTACAGATTACTCTCTCGATTACAGATGTACATCTCTCGTTCGAATTATCGTTCTAAAACGATATTTGAAATTGCTTGTCTGCTGTAAAGGATATAAAAGTAGATGCGCCAAGCATTGCTGATATAAAAGACAATGTAGATAAAGGACGTAGTGATTTTCGTCGGTGTGGCATTCGGCTTAGTGGTTAAAGCTTCCGAGCGGAATACGGAAGAAGTGGGCTCGATTCCCGCAGTAGCGAGAAACTTTTCTTCCTTTTTCCTACAACTTTATTTCAAATTCGTCAAACCTTCAATGACTTTTCGTCGTTGTCTTTCGGCACGTCGTTGGGCCCCGGCTGCGTTTTGAACACGCCCTCCGTGAAGGCGCGGAAAGTTGTGGCCGACCGCAGACCGTCCACGTACTTGAACTGGAGTGGTAATGCAACATCGCGTCACAATTCCCGCCAAAACGACGACGATGGAAAGTGTAATGGTAAAATAATTATCCGTCCAAACAGAACGGAAAAGTGAAGGAGAAGTGGCTACTCTTACTATTTACTTATTACAATTTTGTTTAATTGTTACTAATGCTTTTTCTATTTTTTTTTAATAAATATTTAGTGATTAATTGTAAGTTAGAAATTGTATTTTTATAAATTGCTACAACTGTCGCATAGTACTGGAAATCGTAGAGAACTAACCCCCATAGGACAGCCATTGCCTAGTGTGGGGGTCAGAAAGAAATTAAAATGTAATCAGGCTTCTACTGAATAAAGTTTATTATTATGATGGGATTATTATGGTAGACATTCTAAATAAAACGGGTAAAGGTACTGGTTACCCGGTTTATGTTTAGGCGCTGAAAAATGGTGTTAGTATTGCGGTCATCAAAGTGTCTTTACGTTCTACTAGTAGAAACGCAACACAAACAGTGGAGATAATTTATGATCAGATAACCTGTTTTGGATTTAAAAAATACATAAGTTTAGGAAAAACACTCCTATCGTATATTCAAGCACCACATGAATGCCATTTAGAATAACTGTGCGTAGATTATTTTAAATTTGTAACAGCGAATTGATTCACCACGCCAAAATGTTCAGAACAACTGTGTACGCAACAGTTCTGTTATGCTAAAAGACTTAGAACTTTTAAATTCCAGCAACTTTCCGTAGATTTATTCGAAAACATACGAGTATTTAAGTACTAAGTTATTTCGCTTCAGGACTGCATGAGTGAAGTCATTGTTGTGTACCTTAATATTTGTATCTTATAAAAATATAAAAAAATATTATTGCATATACATACCAAGAGCCATGATAGCTCAATGTGTGGGCGCTAGCTTTTAATTCAATATGCTCGAGAAACCCGAGTTCGATCCCCGGTGCCGGCACCAATGAAATTGTTTATTTTATGTGCTGACTTAGCACGTGCTCAGCGGTGAAGGAAAACATCGTGAGGAAACCTGCATATTTTCGAAATAATAACAAAAAAATATTCGAATATATGTGAAGTCCGCCAATCCACAGTGGGGATGCGTGGTGGACTATACCCTGATACTCTATGTACAGAGGAGGCTTTAGCCCAGCTGTGGGACATGTATAGGCTGTTACGTTACTTTTTTTACATACCAAGTAGTCATGGGGGTTGTCAGTTAAGAGTCCAGGGTACTTTTGCTTCCACGCCTGAGCCAGCTGCTGGGTGGAGATGTAGCCGTCGCTGGTGAGGTCACCCGTGTACGCTGGACTCTGGGTCCAGGTCCATCGCTCGAGCATGTTCAGGTCGGACGTGCAGATGCGTTGCTGAAAAGAATAGAAAAGTATCTTGTAGTCCCGAGACTATTAAAGCTTCATCGAACGCAGAAGGTGGGCTAGCCAGAACCCACGGTTTGAGGCCCTCCACAGTGGGGAGGGCCGCGCATGAGCTCAGCTAGAAAAGTAATGACCTATATGTTGCACTGCCGGTACACAACATTATCTATTCCCTATGTGTACTAACAAACACACTTAAACGTAAATAAATACAACAATAAAATTTAAAACAGAAGAATTAATAGTAAGAACTAGTTATATATTTAAAGATAATTTGTTTAAAACGACGATAAGAGTGGAAAAAAAAGAATTCCTTTTTAATTTACATGCACTCTAATTCAAAAGAGATCGTTGTTTCGTTTTTAAAACATTTAACGAATCATTAAAAATATCCAACCTCGGACCGAGACACTGGAAAAAAACTATTATCACCATACAATGTTTTTCCAATAGCGGCAATCGAACCCACACCCTCTGGCGCAAGAGGTAGGTTCATCACTTCCAACGCCAATCGGGTCGTCATTTAATAAATATTAAAACAAAGACAAGATATTAAAAAAAGAATGGTACTTTACATTTTTAGTTGAAATACTTTTGTCACGCCTTATAGGTGTTTGGAATCCCTATAATATGATTCATTCGCAACTGTTTAAATAACTGTAATCTGAATAATAGTCTCACGCAAACCAATTTTCGTTCCACTGTTTTTGTATTGATAAGGACTATATTATATGAACGATATTTTCCTATTGAAATATAAACCTTTTTAAGTAAGTATAAAATGCATGTATAACATAACATGATTGAAATTATTACGGTAACGTTATCATTTTTTTATCATAAGTTAGACACTCGATTTTTTCACAGATGATGTATTTCTATTGCTTCTATAACAATAAATACTAAAATATATATTTAAGTGGTGCTCCCATACAACAGACATGATTTGTTTAAAAAAAAGTAAAGTAAAGTAACAGCCTATACATGTCCCACTGTTGGGCAAAGGCCTCCTCTATACAGAGGGTATCAGGGCATAGTCCCCCACGCGGCCCCACTGCGGACTTCACATATCTTCGAAATATTTTTTTTTGTTATTATTTCGAAAATATGCAGGTTTCCTCACGATGTTTTCCTTCACCGCGGAGCACGTGATAAGTCACACTTAAAGTTAAAAACTTCATTGGTGCCGGCACCGGGGATCGAACTCAGGTTGCTCGAGTTAAGGGAGAATTAAAGGCGAGCGCCCGGACACTGAGCTATCACGGCTGATTTGTTTACCGTTTTTTAACCGACTTCAAAAAAGATGGAAGTTTCTCAATTCGAGCGTATATATTTTTAATTTTTTTATGTGTGTTCGCGGATAACTTCGTCGTTTATGAACCGATTTTGATGATAATTTTTTTTTGGAAAGAAGATATCCCAAGGATGGTACCATGATAAGGACGTGATCTGATGATGGCATCCCAGAGAAATCGAAGACGATCCTCAAACGCTATAGGCATTAACAATGTTTTTTAGTTTCCGGTTTGAAGATGGTTCTTTTTTGTTAAAAATTATAATATAGATAATGGTACGGAACCCTTCGTGCGCGAATCCGACTCGCACTGGGCCGGTTGTTTAGACACTAAAGATGTAGGCTTTTTTATTTTTATTAAGATAAGCCAAATATTTCGCAAAATATACCTTTAAAAAAGTAACAATATCATAATTATATTTAACAACTTTAATTCCTTTAAATGGATATATATTTAAAAATCTTGATCAAGAAGTGCAACACAACGTATATTTAGGTGGACTAAAATTAACTTATATGTAATATCGTGTTAATTGTGTGGATAATTAAAAAAAAAAAAAACACTTGTCAATTACTAAATTAGTGCCGATAGAAACAAAAACATCTTTAACTGTGCTGGTGCATAACAGCTCACTTAACAGTTTCTGCAAACTCCTATACTTATCCAATTTTCTTACACAGCGTGTCGTTACCACCGTGACAATAAATGAACACACATATAGAGGATAACTTTTTAAAATTGTATTAAACATTTACATTCTTCAGACATCAATATTTACCGAGTTATTAAATTTTCCAAAACAACAAATTTTAGAACACCTTACGTATAAAACTGTAACGTAAAGTTCATTTGTAAAGGTCAAAAAGCATATGAATGGGTTGAATGAATTTAAAAGAGTCAAAACTTACTGTTGGAAGGAGAGGCTTGTAATGCGACGCTGTGGCGCGAGTTGTATAGGATGTTACAAATTTTGTTTCTTTTTAACTTAATTAGTTTGTTTGAAAAATGTTTTTTTTTAATTATGGATTTTGTTTAATGTTAATATTTTTTTTATGATTATAGGCAAGTATCGTTAGACGTGTGTTCATTAATTGTCGCGATGGTAAAGACACGCTGTATAAGAGAATAGTGGTAGCAGATAATAAAACATATTTTTAAGAGAAAGAGGCAGAGGTGTTACTTGAGCCATCTCCAGACGATTATTTGGTCCAGACACTTTACTTTGAACCAAATTATAGGTGCATAGTGTTTAGTCAGGGTACTTTAGTGGTCTATGACAAGGCATGCTTCTGTGCGCTGCAGAAAGTTTTGATAGTATATGTATAAAAACTATTTTTTCTATCATCGCTGAGACCGCCGAAAGTTGCGTCAACTGCACTGTTTCTTTAATAAGGAAAATCATCGAAGTTATTTGCTTCCTACGTAAACTACCAAACTTAATAAAACTAACATCAACCTATGTTGCCATTACCTAGTACGTGTTTCGGTTTCATATAAACTTCCTTCTTTAACGAGGATTCATTCGTGAACGTCATTTGTATAAATAACTGTATTACAAGCTTTCGATGTCTTATCCTACAATGTTAGCGATGTCATGTTTTTACCCATGATAAAATGGGTGTTGGAGATGTCCATAATTGGTGGTAATCAGTCACTACCATGTTAACCATCTGCTGGTTTGCTAGCTGAATAGTAACCTGAATAGTAACCAAAAATAAGTAAACTTTCTATTATAGTAATCTATGTAGCAATGAGAACATTTAATTTTGCATCTTAGTAAGTCTTCATAGAGTCAATTTTGTTTAAATGAGGGCTCGTCCAACTACACTGTGATGTGAAAATCTCTTCTTTTTTTACCCTCGCTTTTATTGATAAATTTGTCGCAACGAAGTGATACACCTTTCCTTCGTTTAAAAGCGGACTATCAACCGACGGCTTCAACGGCTCGAAGTATTGCAACAGATTCAAAGATCCCAATATAAATGACTTAACCGATAGTGTAGTGGCTAAGCTAGGTAAGGCTAGGCTCAGCTCAAAATTGTTGTCATTCCGAGTGTCGTAGGTTCGAAAACAAAATTGTGGGCTTTGCAAATGGTTTTTCTGTTGGTATGGATCTACAATGTGTTAGTAGCATATCAATATCATTTGATATTCATTAACTATCTCCAGAAATTATACGAATGTTAATAAAGAGATTTTGTAAGATACCGTAAATTATAATGCGTCAACAATTGGATACGATAAGTTATTCACGTTACTGGCGTGGCAGCTCGGTTTTTTGATGTTGATTCTTGTTCTATTAAAACTTGACCGACCCAGTTGAAACCGTGACTCCATTATGTCAGATCCTTGGTTGAGAAAAGCCTCGACGTGAAGAATCACGTTCACATTCTATATGCCGATGCTTCTAAAGAGCTGGTGAGGAGGCGGGAATATAGAATAGCACTTAGGTATGCTCTGTCGCGTATCAAATGTCATAAAGAGGGTATTTCCGGGTATCTCGGATTTCTCACACGCATGAACAAAGGCTTGATAGCAAAATGGAGTGATTCTGTGTTGGTTCACAAGAAATCAGGTACTGTAGGAGGCATCTTTTTTCCCTATATGACCCAGGCTCGATGAAAAAGGGCTCGGTGCCTTCTGCAGACCCAAAAGCACCTAATTGGATGGCCATCGCAGGGATTTTACTCAGGACAAGGCTTGCACAAACTCTTCTCCCATGAAACAAATCTTTTTAAGATTTTGTACAACAACTACTTCTAAATTTGGATTTGCGCGTGATACTAATATGATAGGTATAACATAATAAGTGTCTTATTGTATATATTATATAAAAAAGATAATTTTATGCTGTGGTGGGAGTAAGTTCCTCATATAGGAAAAACGTATGGTGAATTTGACCGTGGTCTGGCTGTCCTATGATAAAAGAAGCGTTTTTGGCCGATTAAAGGGTACAGGATATAAAAGAAGCTAACAAAAGCAAGTCTTCACGGATGAATAAGCTTGCTCAGCCGGGGAACTACTCACAGAAGACTGAAGTGCTTACTTATTTATGATTCTGCATTTCATCTAATGATTCAGAGAACCGTTGCCCAACCCTATAATGTTGACAACGGAGTCGTGGTGGTCATTTATCATAACATCGTGCTTATTTTCCACATTTACATATATTAACCTAATCTTATTATTAATTGGAACTAGAATCAATAACTGCAAAATAACACGAGGGGCTAGCTCAGCAGTTAGCTAGATACTACAAATTATACTCACGTTAGTGTTCCTGAAGTTGCCGTTACGATAGTTGGTGATGACGTTATTCCTCAGGTCAGCCAAAGCCTGTAGACCCACCGTCTCATTCGCTTCAGGGTTGTGAGAGCCGTGGCGGCTCATCAGCCATATGGCAGTCGGCTGGCAACCTGGTGTATAAGAAATTCGTGAGTCCAAATCATCAAAAAGATATTGGATTTTAAGTAAGCAGTAAGCTACGATTGAAGACGACGCGTATAGTTAAATAATAATAAAAAAAACGAAACAAAAATATTGGATCAAAAAAACAAAAAGATTTCATTAAAACTCTCTATTCTGTAAAGAAAGTTTTAATAACAAATGTTCAGTAAATAAAAGAAATATACGAAGAACATTGAATTAAAGTCGAAACTATAATTTCTATTTTTATTTAACTATTTAAAAGCTTTATGAATTAAACAAATATAAAAAAATGATTGTCGATAGATGAAATGTATACATTTCTTATTTCTATGAATAAATGATTAGATTTCGATACGTAGAAAATGAAAATCATAACTAATAAAATTATTAATAAGCCAATAAAATCCGTATAGTTTCTTTAACAATGTGTAGCATTCGATTAGATACAAGGAACCGAATTTTTAGGAAAAATCCTTTTGGAACATAGTTTTTTAATCAGAGAAAATCATGTCTCACAACCATTATTCGGTCAAAATGCCATAATTTCCTTGCGATGACAGTGTCTTTTATATTAGATGTTAAGTGATACGCAGCTCCCGTATTTACTATACCCTCAGGGTTACAGATGCATTAAGTACCAGCTTTTAATAAAGTAGGCTCAAAAGACAGAAGTAAAACACTTCCACTACACACCAGACTTCTGTGATGTCGTGGTACTTTTCCGAACGGGACTGCCCTTTCATGCAGGAGTAAATACTGTTGCATGGCTCTATCACGGTAAAAAGTTCAAATATGTTTGAAATAAAATTAAAATAAAACCCGGTCCATCCCAAATCGATTATATTTAACATACTTTAACTTCTAGGTAAGTCAATTATGTATGTTATAATACTGTAGATTCTATAACATCTGCGTTAGCTTTTTTATTACAACACATTTTTTAAGGCGAGTTTTAAAAATAGTTTAATTAGTGAACAACGTACACCACGGCATGGCGTATCATTAAAAAATTCCTGTCAAATTTATCTTCATTAAAAATATAATCTTTCATTACTTCCCTTAATACATAATTAAAGCATAATACCTCAGAATACTGAAAGAACTTAAGAATTCCTTTCTGTATTCTGAGCATACAACGACGTGCCTAATAGTTATTGACAAAGAAATCTTTGTCAATAACTATTAGGCACGTCGAGATCGGTAAGGACAGCCGGAAAATGCTTTACTAAAATTAGAGTGATTATTTTTTACCCAATACGTAATAATAGTTTCAAACTATATCATACCCTGTATACATCGGGTAAATATCAACAGCATACGCTAACCGAGTGGGCTAAGGCATACGTTTTTTTCAGGTTCAACGTTTTTCTTATTTCCTAAAAAAGTGTTTGAATGCCTGCATTTACCTTCTTAAGGTAACTTGTCTATGAAGTTGCACTCACTCGCATAGATTGATCTCGCAATTGGCACACGAGATCACCGTGAGCACTCTCGGTTTCCGTAAGTTGGAATTGTTAATTTGACGGCTGGTTTCTGAAATACTGATCAACGTAGATGTTAACTAATCGTTGTCAAATAGCTTTTCAAATGTCACTTGAGTTGCCAAAGGGATGGTTAAATGACATATACGATGATGTGTTTCAGAAACCGGTCGTGACTGTTGTAAAACATGTTTTGGTCGATAGGTACATCGTCTCTGGGCGTATAGCGTTGAATTACGAAATCTGCCGTAAAATATTGCATGCATATAGTGAATAGTGTGAGATATTTGTAATTTATGAAAAATATATTGCATCTGCCAAAGTCATCATGTGAAACAAGCTTGTCATCGAACTGTAATAGAAATTTCGTATAAAGGTTTGTTCATGTATCATGATAAAATCGATACCTCGAAAATTTATCATTATTATATGGGTAAAAAGTTAATAAATTTTAGCACTATTGTGAAGTTCACATTCCAGAGGAACAGTTATTGAGATTTATGCACGCAAAATTGTTTGTAATCGCATTGAGCGATTCTTGTTAGAGCCCCAGTAAACACGACCGGAACTACAGTCTCTTGGACACCAGCAAATTGCCTAGACTGACCCCAACTATCAATAGGATCAGTCAACAGTTAAGGTCGCTGATTTGTTATCAATGGATTAAAAATCTTTCATCATACAAAAGGTTCGTGAAACATGTTTGTTTACAGTGAAATAGAAAAAAAGCGTGGCCCTACCACAGTTACGTTACGTTAGCGTTTACGTTTCACGAAGTGTATAACACTAAGTAATGTTAAGAACATAATCCGTATTGTTTTTCGGATTCTTTGTAAAGACATGTAATAAAAAAATGTTTAAATAGTACTTCAATGTTCGTTGAAACTTCGTCGATCTGAACCTGGTACATAGATCAACTCAGTTAATCGGATAGTCCGCAGAGCCGCAAAAGAAGATAAGCAATTTATATAAAAATTATATCAGCAATAGTTTTCTTATTTAGTGCAAATTTTGAGTATCAATAAGCTTTATAACGAACCGATATTAAGATAAACAGTCGACTTCATCAATTTCAATGTCATAATTCTACCGGGCGTCAATAAACTCAGATATAGTCATCACTACTTGCGTGATTCAATTGTTCTCTCAGGGTATTGGCCAATCCGTCCCTGAGACCCTGACGTGAGTGCATTAATGAAGCCGCTTCAACGAGCCACGAGGTCAACATTTAGCACCTTATCATGAGTGGATGGATTCACTAGAGTGACATAACTCGCCGTATATTTCATGTATTTGAAACGGCTGGATTTTATCCTTGGTCAACCCTAATATTTTCGAATAAACAAAAGGTTTAATAATAATAAGCGGAGGTGGAAAACGAGCAAATTATCCATCTTATAGTAAATCATTACAAGCGCTTATGGACATCTACAAGACTAGAAAAATTGCAGGTACCTTGTCAACTTTAAGGAGATCTACTGGCCAAATGACACTGAATGCGGTAAATTTATATTAATCTGGGGTTCTGAATAGTAGAAGCTCTTTTCTCATACCGATGGGGCTCTCTTGACTAACTTTTGGCACAAATTTTATTTATACAAGGCTTAGTAAAATGAATGTAAAAAAGCAAGAAAATATTGAAAACATTGAAATATTGTTGGTTGTATTTATATAGTATGAAAAATACTGGCAAACACTTTTTTAATTTATGGACATAAATATAAACGTACACGGAGATTTACTACTTAACGAGTTGATTTCTCGGACGAGCGCCCAACGATCTACAATACTTTCTGAAACACTGATCATCATAAAAGTCAACTAATCAGCTTTCAAATGGCTTTTCAAATCTTATTTGAGTTGCTAAATGGATTGTTAAACTCTTTGTATTGATCATTCTGATCAATTCAGATAGTTTAACAATCCTTTTGGCAACTCAAATGACATTTGAAAAGTCATTTGACAGCTGATTTGTTGACTTCTTCGATGATCAGTGTTTCCGAAACCGGGCGTTAGTTTGTAATTGTATATATTAATAATCAAGAACTAAACTGGACCGACCGTAACCAATATTAATAAGATAACTTAGTACTTACGGACGATCCTATATGCACAATATTATCCATAATTTAAAAAATAAAACCATGATATAATACTTCAGTGGCTCCATCTAGTTTTTTTTAAATCAAAGAATCGCTCTCAGGTCAAAACGCGTGTGCAGCGTTTTTTCTTCATGAGAACATTCAAGAGCTTAGTCATAGGTTGATTCTGCTAATTTGAAGTACGTATTTTTTTATATCAAAAAAATGGGCCACAGTTTTATCTAGACATTTCTAAGTTTTAACTTAAGTGCAGGAAATACTGAAGTTCTTTGAAATGTACTTATCTTATTTTACTTACTTATTTACGTACCTATCTTATTTTTATATTCATGAAGTAAGCTTTCTCACTAGACTAACATCTGAGAGCATTTCTCTTGCTAACTAATATTATTTGTTACAATAATTGTTTGCCTCCATTCTCAGGCATCCTTTTATTCTAGAACAGACTTATACTGCCGCGAATATTTAAAAGATATGCCGCGAGTGTTTTGAAACCCACAACAAAATGGCCAACGAGTGATTGAATCTGGCAAAGTGGCTCGGTAGCAAAATACGCATTATAATATTCCGTGATTAGGTATATGAAAACATTCATGTTATATCATATATATAATAAAATAGATTTTCACTTTGCAGGTTAGCTCGAACATTGTTGTTGTAATTTATGACACACTAGCTATGCACGCGGCTTCGTCCGTGTGGAATATAAATTATAAAAAATTCTAGAATAAAACTAGCCTAAGTTACTCCTTATTACATCTGCCAGTCAAAGTCCCGTCCAAACCGGTCCAGCCGTTTCACAGATTAGCCGGAACAAACAGACAGACAGACAAAAATTATAAAAAATGTTATTTTGGTATATGTACCGTGTATACATCTATATGCATTTAGTAAAAAGCGGTTATTTTAATATTACAAACAGACACTCCAATTTTATTTATCTGTATAGATTTATTCGCCTATTTATGCAAAACGTGAACAAGCTATGGTTATTAAGTGATACCGACACATTATTCACGAATAAAAACATGGAAAACCTGATTGTGCGTAATGTACATAATAGCTTCGATAACTGAGTGGTTTACAGGTCGTCTTCTGAATCAAGTGGTCCAGCTTCAACTATTCTTGTCTTTGTTTATTGATGTGTTCGCTTTCCTTTTTTTAAAACGCCATCATCGGACACATATTCTATAGAAAAGCATAGATTACAAATTACTTATTTTTGGTTCAGATAGACTGATGTAAAGGATCTGATCAATTCGATCTCTATCCGAAACCACAATTCAATAAGGTCTTGCAAAACTCAATTCTATCTAACACCCGTGACCTGACCACAACCCACTACGATAACATTGGAAATATTTTATCCAATTTGACGACTAATTTATTTCTTTCTTATTACAAACACAACTATAATGATAGACTCAATGAGAAAAAATATCAAGTTTTTTATAAAAAAACAACATACTTAATAAAACCGATGTTGCAAGTGTCCATGGGCGTCCAGGAAACCCGCTTGCTCCTTTGCCTTATTATCCCATAAAAAAAAAACATCCGATAAACGGACCTTATGTGACTAAATGAAGGCTATAAAAAACCAAATTGCGTAGCCATAACGGAGGTGTAGTTGTTTGCAATGAAAATTAAAAAAAAAAGTAGAACAAGCAACACCAAAGTGTAAACACCTTTTGCGCACACAAAATTGACGCGTCCTACATGCAGTGACTACCTACTATTCAGACTTTCGAATTGGTTATTTTATCACAAGCAATAACCGTAAAGAGATGATGTGCTCTAATGAAATTAGAGGGTATTTTTAGGGTTCCGTAACCAAAGGGTAAAACGGGACCCTATTACTAAGACTCCGTCTGTCTCCAATTTTTACTTTAATATAGTTCTATGTTTAGTAACTTATATTTGTGCAAAATTTAAGATTATTCTTAATTCACGCCAATGTAATATAACACATATAAATTCAAATTCAAAATATTCAAATAGATGTTAGCGCGTCCTTATGAAACGTCGGTATTTAAACATAAAATTAAAAAAAATCGTAAGTTACATATTTGAAGGACTCAAATAGGGGTAAAAAGGTTTGACTAATTAAGGGTTGTTTAAGCTAATACTGCCAGTTCTAATATATGAAATTTACAGATTATATCGAGCAAAGTTATAGGCAGTTATAACATTGTCAACCCAGGTATGTGTTCTCAAATCACATGAATTCTAGTTGCAAAGACACCAATGAGGTATGTTTTTCAGATTTGTCCGTTACGTAGGAGTCTTACGCCCGGTTTCTAAAACACTGATCAACGTAGAAGTCAACTAATCAGCTGTCAAATGGATCTTCAAATATTATTTAAGTTGCCAGAAAGTAACTCTATGAATTGATTAAAATGATCTTCTTAATGATCAGAATGATCAGTTCAAAGAGTTTAATAGTCCTTTTGACAACTTAACATTTGAAAGTTTGGTTAGTTGACTTCTACGATGCTCAGTGTTTCAGAAACGGGGCGTTAGTGTAAAAGCTGTTGGCGTTAGTGTAAAAGCTGTTATTTTATTATGTACCGAATAAAATTTTAAATAAACTGGTTAAAACTATTAAACTTTTTGTTCCATTCCTTAGTCGATTTAAAACTTGCGAAAGCGATATGATTTATGTATTCATCAAGATGAAAGGAAGACCTAGCTAGACGTATTTTGGTTGGCTTGTATTTAATTGATTCAAAGTTTTTTTTAGTAACAATTAAAGTATTAAAACATAAAAGATGTAATTAATATCTGACACTTTCGTTTTAATTTATGTATAGCAGGAATAAAGAAGACAATAGTGATGTCGCACGATTTGTTAGACTTAAGGCCCATTTACACGATGCCATTTTCTTGTACATACAAGAGCAATAATTGAATGCAATAAATTGCGCGCAATAATTTGTTAGACCATTTGTTGTTTAGACCATGCAACTCATTTATTGCTTCAATTTAATTGTATACAACAGGCAAGAAACTTGCACCGTGTAAATGGGTCTTTATATTTATAAAACACAGCGTTATTGAAATAAAAAGCATAAACTGTCTTCGTTCGATGAACTGAAGTGCAAACATCGCATAAAGTGCAAAAGGTATAAGTAAGGCGTTCCTCATTATTACTGTTCGATATTATGTTCAAGAAATGATAAAAAAGGCGACCGTCTCTTTATTGACGGCGTGGGACACGACTTTCGACTAAACAATGTTGTCTATTGAAAGTGCGATGATGTTTTATTATCTTTCCTTATTTTCTTAATTTACCATTACTTACCGGGAATATCTTGAATCCTAGTGTTTGGGAGTCCCTTATTGGCGAAGATGTAAGAGGTTTTCGTCCCGAACAGCAAATAGGGATCTTCTTCTACTGAGAGGCAAATTTCCTGACATTGCCCGAATGCCACTAATGATACAATAAGTAGAGGCCGCCAATCCATTTTCGCTGCTGAACAATAATCAGTGAAATTTGCTAATTAAAAATAATTAAACCCACAAAGTAGTTTTCCTCATCCAAACTAATCTATCTATCTGATCTAACAACAGAAATAAATCGTAAACAAAAGAAAATGTTTCTGTTTTTTCAATAAACAGTTCGTTGTAAATAAACGTTTAAATATTAACATAAAAAATTAACACATTTGTTTTTAACTTATATATATATATATATATATACTATCAGTGTGCAGTTGTGACTGTCAACAAAAAATGAAGCCTCCAAATCTAGTACGCACGTTAAACAAGTCGGTTTTAACAAATATACGCGGTACAAAATGTGGCACAAGACTAACAAAACCAAATCGGTCTCATTAAGCTCAATAACGAAGTCCATTTGTAAAGCACAATCTACATAACAAAAGTATACATTGAATTTTAATGTACCTTAACGCGGGAAATTACGGGTTTCGGGATAAACTATTCGAGAAAGTTATCTGTGGCCGGGTGGAGCGCGGGAAACGCGGCGTATTCCACGCGCTATGGCTGACATACTAGCGAGCAGCGGTTGGTCGTAACTTACGACTTGTAAGTCGCAAACTCACAAACCGGCTAGCGCGGAAAAACAAGGCGGCGTATGCGTATGCTAAGCAAAACAATTTCAACACAAGCACTACGAACACTTGAACATTGACGGTTAAACTGCCATCAATAAAAATGAAAGTAGTCGGTACTATATTGTTTTATTTAGTGTTTAATAATTAAATGCATAGCTCTCTTCTTATGTCCTTCTTTTTCCAAATGACAGGTTGCGGTTGCAATTAAGAAACTACACCCAATTTATTTATTAATGCAAAAAGTGCGTTAAGCGTTAAATGTTATACCTACTGCGTTCTCAACGTTGATGAAAAACATTGTGAAGAAATCTGCACGATATTTTTTCTGATATTTGGAGAAATGATCAGCACTAGTGGCATGGCAGACTGTGCCTTAATGGACCAGCTGAGATCTTTGACAGATATAAAGGAAGAAAAAAGAATGTTTATTTGGAACACTACATTACAAAACAAAGAAAAAATCCAAGAGTAAATAATAACGAAAATGTATTCCCACACAAGTCGCCACTTCTTATAAAGCCGCGGCAGCAAGTGCTAACTGCCACGGCACTGGTTTTCTGCAGATGCTTTAGTATGCAGATAGGCTTGTAGTAGATAGTACGTTTAACAACGAAAACAATAATAAATTCTAACGAAATCTCAACACGTTCACTGAAACATCAGATAATACATTTATGTAGGTTAACAGTGAAATGGTTGGTTTGACTCCGTTTGCGAATTAATTAATTCTTAGTTTCTTGTATTTCATTTTAAACTTTTTGCTTAGCAGTGGGACATATTTATAAATGTGTCGGTCGTCAGTCATAAAAGACTGAGGGGAAATATAACTGAACTGACTGAGGGGATAAGTATTATATTTTTGCGTTTCGTTTGATGAGTTAGATTATCATTGGGCGGCGGTAATCAAGTGAAATGCCTAGTCGTACTGCGTCCTTGCCACCTTAAATAATTAATTATTACTCCGTTTGCACGTAAGATATTACGAGTAACTTAATAACGGTGGCTTTATAATTCCGGAGTTACGTGAATTGTGTACATTGGCGTATCTAGGTCTATTTTTCAGGGTGGGCCTGGGCCTTTACAAAAAAAAATCGAACAATATGCGTCTTATTAAAGAAATAACAGTTCTTTATCGTTAATAACTTATATTAATTAATAATAATAGTATCAACTAATTAGTAGTTATTCGTTGTGTATTCCCCAGTAAATAAACCGAATGTATTGTAAAATAGTATGTAATAAAAATTAAGTATGTACATAGATTTCTCGGCTGTTGATAATTATTTGATTTCAATGATTTTTTATGAAGTTTCTTAGGCATCCAGCCTAGAATTTACGTCACAGCCTAGAAGTACCCCAAAATCCTGGGGTGGGCAATAGACGATACTGGGGTGGGCAATAGACGATACTGGGGTGGGCATGGCCCACCCGGCCGACTGCTATATACGCCTATGATTGTGTAATATAAAATGTGTAAGCAAACACAAGAAAGAGTTGCGTACATCGATATAATAATGAATTGGACGTACAACATGTACTTACAACAGGTTTTAATGCATCCGGCCGGTGTGACTCATGACCTTCTGTCGTATTAAAGTTACGTGCGCGAATGCCCATTGTAAACAGAGTCATGTCGGCCCCACGCACATGATGTATACAGTTTTATATTACTATTAACGTGTCTAAGAATGTGAATCAATGGGTAAATGCGCATCAACTGCAAAAAAAGCTCGTGTGTTCAATTTTAGGGTAGACAGCGCTTTTTGGCGAGATAATTAGTGACCTGCGTGGAGTTTTCGTGCACTTCCTTCGTACGATTGGTGCAAATATTTGTGGTTGCTCTTGCACAGGAATTAAAATCAATACATTGACAAGGATCGAACCTGCGATCGCTTATTGAGATTCCTAGTACGAAAGCCTCTAGAAACGACTAGTTCCAAGTAGTTGATCGCCTGCATGTATGGCACAGTGGTTTAGATTTAGGCCTTGGCAACAGCTGTTTCGTTGTAGGTTCAATCATCGCCATGGAAAAACTTTGTGTTTATTTAATTGTTGTTTCAAGTCTCGGTGTACTTTGTATTCGTAATGTTTAATGCTTGTAAAACTTTGAGCGAAGACCGGCTTTCTTTTCTATTGATTAAACCTTTTCGCTAAATAATCGCAAATCTACTGTAGGAGCCTTCTCCTGACAGATATAACGCTGTTAACCACCGTGGTCTAGTAAAATAAAAGTATCAGCCTATACATGTCCCACTGCTGGCCAAAGGCGTACTCTGTACAAAGGGTATCATAGTCCACCACGCGGCCCCACTGCGGATTGGTGGACTTCACATATCTTCGAATTTTATTTTTGTTATTACTTCGTCTCGAAAACATCCAAATTAAAGATGATACAATAAAATAAGCTCAAATGCTATTGGCGAGTATTACATTTCCTCTCTATATAAACAGAAAGGTCGGATCCAGGGGGAGGGTCATGGGGGTCATGATCCCCCCCTGGGCTGGGTCCACGACCTAGGTGGACCACTAATTAAAATTGTTAAACATAATGTTTTTACATATTTTTTTGTCACAATATCACAATAATAATATAATATTTTAATATATGTGATATATATCTATACGTTTCTTTTATTTATAAGCCCCAGCAGACCAGAAAACAAATATAATATAATTTTATGTATGATTACAAGCTTACGCTATGCTATGTCGGTGCGTTGTAGGTCCATAGGTGACAATCAATTGAACCGACTTGTCGTTTGCCAGTTTCACTTAAATAATGTTGTGGCGTTGCTTGATGATGCTCCGGGAAAGTACCACAATTACAAAGCATACCGGAGTGGTGGAAATTTTTATACTTTTGCATCTCGTTACCCTACCGATTTGCGATGTTCAAACGTGCCAGAAACTACTTGCTTGAATGCTATCGACTCTATGAGAAAAATAATGCATCCACAGCCCGCGCGGCGGTTTCAGTTGAGCGTTTTCTGTCAAGTTGTCTAAGATTTTCCGTAATTTTTTTTTAATATATATAAATTAAGTAATAGAGGTCTGTCGTGATGCGCGCATCACGCAAAAAGTACTAGATAGATTTCAGTTAATTGTTCTAAGTTTTATTTCTTAGACGTTTATCTCAAAAAGTATTATGAAATGATTATTTAATAAGTCATTAAAGTTTTAAGAAACAATGAGTTTTAAAAGCACTAAGTGATATTTGTTCCCTCCGGAGTTTAACAAACGTCAGCATGTAATGCAATTAAATGTGAGAAACTCAAAAGTAAAAAATATTATTGGTTTATAGTGTCGATTAAAGAATCTACCTAATTTTTGGGGTTCCATACCAACATTCCGTACAAGATCTCTCTGCTGTCTCTCTGTCCGTCTATCCGTCTGTCACCAGGCTGTATCTCATGAACCGTGATAGTTAGTCACTTGAAATTTTCACAGTTGATGTATTTCTGTTGCCGCTATTACATAAAATACTAAAAAAAAGAATAAAATAATTTATTTTATAGTAAATTTAATTGGGTCTTTCACTTTTAACACTAGAAATTTCCATATGTAATATTTTTATTTGAAAAAAAAATATCGTTCCTTGAATCGTGAAATTATTACGTGGGATGTTGTTTTACATGAGAAGTTGACAAGGGAGCCTGATGTTACGTGATAACCGCTGCCCATGGATATTTGAAACACCCGTAGGGTTGCAGATACGCTGCTACCTTTTAATAAAGTGGGCCATGGTTACCTCACTTATAAGGCTAAACACAAAAGTATTACACTTCCACTTCGTACCGGTATATGAGGTAATGGTACTTCTCCGGACGGACTGCCCATTCATGCAACAACGAGAACTGTTGCACGGAACTACCACATTCCTATTCAACAAACAAAATAAACATGGGATACAAATTGCACTAACGTCCGATTTCACCACCGATCCCAAACTTTAATTTTTTCAAATTTTTTCACTTAAAGTTAGCGATCGATGGTGAAAACGGGTATATGGACTCCATATAGAATTTATGAAGTCCACGACAGTTTACGGCACCAAATTTATGTACTCGATTTGGGGATCAAAGCCATGTGAGCCAGACAAAATTTGCCAAACCATCGCCAGTCATGTTGACCTATATTTGTATGTAATATAATGTGCATATTATACAGGTAATATTCAATAAGAAAGTGGCGGTTACGTTATTGCTGCAACAAGTTGTGTGTTAAAAATAATTTCTTTTTTTAGAATTTTACTGGGTGGGTTCTTTTTTATAGTCTTATCAGGGCTGTACTGTTTGTTACTATTTCTTATATGGAATATCGTCTTCTTTGGAACTTCGGAATAAAAAGGTTATAAAAGACTATTCTGTTCCATAGCTACATTGTAAATAATATAAAATCAAACCATGTGCTAGTATTTGAGTTTTGTGAACACAAACATAGGGAAGCTAAATTTATATACTCATATAAGGAGATACAATAAATAAAATTGAAATATCATTTGTATTGTCTGAATAACTGCTTTTTACTTATTGCGTAACATTTATCCGCTACATAGGTACTGTATCATCATTATTAACCTCCTGGGTTTATCCCATTTAGGTGGGGTCGGCACAATATGTGAATCATGTAACTGACGTCAACTTTCTTTTTTTGAAAAAGGTTTAGGTTTCCACTCTAAAAATTAAAAACCAAATCTCATTCACTAAGAATTCGTGAAAAATACCTTAGGCTTCTCTCGGCATCAAAAATAATTTAGGGTCCGTTACAAAAGGCAAAAAAAGTATACGGCAAAGTTTTTTTATTAATAGTGATATATGTCTATTGTTATAATCCAGGTGATTGACTAAATCGCTTATTGAGACGTATGGTCACGCAAAGTAAATAGTGTAACATACTAAAATATGTGTGTATAAATGAATTTTAGTGCATTTACGAACTTAACAATTTTTCTTAAATTTGCCGGTGTCGAAGGCGCGGGTTACAGATTGTATAGTTATAATAAGACTGAGAAGTCAGTTGTGATGTCATTTTCAGGCATTAAATGATAAATTACTTTCATTGTTGACCAACGTTACATGAAAATTACGTTGATTCTATAAAGATTTTAATTTTAAATTCGTTTCAAACCTAAGGCTTTATATATATAGCTAAATTTGATTACATAAGACCAATTTACAATTATGGTTGTATATATATTAAAATTTGAACTACGAAAAGTTTTTCGCAGTTGCAAAAACCGAAATCTGCGTGGACGGAGGAGTATAAAATTTTTACACTAGTTTATATAGTAGTGCTAATATTTTTTTTTTAATTATGCATTGAAATATATTAAATCAATAAAAAATCATTACACACTTTACTATATAAATAATTATGGTCAAATTTTTACCACTAGGCGACCACTATGTAGTAATAATGGATGCGCCAAGCATTGCTTAAAATGTGAAAAAACAATTTAAGACTTTGAGGGTTTCGTCGGTTGGCAATCATTGCATCCTTGCTTATTTCAAGGGTAAAATTTTTATTTGTAAATTTTTAAGTATGCTTTATTTGAATTTCAAATGAAACTAGTTATTATTATTAAGAAAGTCAGAGATATAAAGAAAAAAACATAATATACAGTTAGTAAAATATTTTAATTTTATAGTTGTAAATTTTGATATGTAAAGTGCTTATTTTAGAACGAAACCGTGAAAGTCAGTTGGTTTGAGCTTAGAGTTTTACTCTATGGATTTAGTTCACTAATGGCGTGTCTTCCGGTACCACACGCAATAACGTCAAAATGGCAAAGAAAAAGGGCGACGAGAAAGTGAATCAGACTCCTCAAAGTGACAATGAGGAGCAAAATTTTGATGAGGAACCTGATTTTGACGATCCGGAAGGATACGTAGATGACATTCCCGACGAAGGTAAAAGTTTGAAAGTTTTAGAGGTTGTACAGGCCATATGCGTTGCTTAGCTTGGGAGTTTAGAACGCTTGAGGTTTTACTAAATTAAACTTCATAAGTAGTATATAGTGTTATTTTAAGAATTCGCTTAGAAAATTGATTGGTTTCTGCATTCGTTGAATCATGAATAATGGTGACAGTTTAAGACATAACCTAAATTTGACGTTGCAGAATTGTTGGCGGATATTTTAGAGAAAAAGCCCAAGGAATCCGACGGGTACGAGAATGTTGTTGTAGTTGACGGATGCCCGCAGGTCGGGCCCGAACGTCTGGAGAAGTTACAGAGTGTAATAAATAAGATCTTCGGCAAGTTCGGAAAGATCGTCAGCGATTATTACCCGACCAGCGAGAATGGTAATACAACGGGATACATTTTCCTCGAGTACGATAACCCACAGAATGCGGCCGAGGCTGTAAAGGCAACAAATAACTGCAAATTAGACAAACAGCACACGTTTTTAGTGAATCTTTTCACAGACTTTAAAAAGTAAGTAGTGCATCATCGTCAAATCTACATATTGTTTTCATACTATGAGATTTTTTTGATTGATTTTTGATTTATTAGCATTAGTTATCTAGTTGAAAGTTGTTAAATAATCTTTTACAATGTAAAAACTTAGGTCCTAGACATATACAAATGTATCTGATATGTAAGAGCATATGTTTCATGTCTACTTAATTTTATAACTTCTTTATAAGTATCTGTTAAAAATATAGTTGTATAATCTTATTATTCATGCCATGTTGGTTCATCATTTGCTATGTAGAAAGAGATGTTTGAAATAACATTTTAAAACATGCTTTTCTATGTTGTTATGGTTTACTTTAATAGTAGTATCATAAATAATTGCCACATCATTAAGGCTGCCATTAGTGTTGAGGTATTCTTTCACATTTCTGTAAATTTTCAAACAACAGCAATGAATTGGTGGTATATAAAGAGCAAAATATTTATTCTTTAGTTTATTTAAATTACGATTAATTTGTTGTTCTCTAACAGATATTCAGAAATCCCTAAAGAATGGGAACCCCCTACACCTCAGCCATTCAAGGTGCAGTCAGACCTACAATGGTACCTGATGGACCCTGATGCTTATGACCAGTACCTGGTGGGAATTGGCACTGGTGTTGCCCTTCAAGTGTGGCAGAATGCTTTGCCAGAGCCTGTGCTGCTACAGGAGAGGCCGGTATGTTTGTTCCATAATCAGTACAGACTAATTGTTTTTGATTTTTTTCATAACCTGTACAGTATTATAACTGTACAGGTATAATACCTGAACTAAATTATATTTTCATTAGAGTAACTCAATATAATTGTATCATTTTAATTATTTTATTTATTAAATGCTAGATATTCACAGGCATCAGATGTGACAATCTATGTGGAAATTAAATTGCTAAACATAGGGTGCTGTTTAGTATTAATAAAATCAAATATTAAAATTGGGCTATAATATTCGTTTTTTTATTAATGATATATGTAACTTACTACTTATTATAGTGTATACCTTTTTTGTATGTTTGAAAGGAATTTCAATTTTTATACAATTTTTTTACTTTCATCGTTTTTACTTATTTTTTAAAAAAGTAAAGTAAGGAAAGGTAACAGCCTATACATGTCCCACTGCAAAGACCTCCTCTATATAGAGGGTATCAGGGCGTAGTCAACCATGCGGCCCCAATGCGGATTGGTGATTTCACATATCTTCGAAATTTTTTTTTGTTATTATTTTCAAAATATGCAGGCTTTCTCACAATGTTTACCTTCACCGCATATTACGTGATAAGTCAGCACTTAAAATCAACAATTTCATTGGTGCGGGTTGCTCAAGTATATTGAAGCTGTGATAGCTGATTGTCCAGGTGCTCGTATTTAATTCTATTTTTTGTTACTGGATTCTTTTTTAAAATTATCAGTATTTCTAAAATCAATCCTTTTTTTAGACCAAAAAAATGTATATTATACTAGTGATAATAAACAGTAAAAATATCCTTGTAATAAATTTTGCTATTTAATTGAATAATTCTGTGGTTGTACTATACTACAGGGTGGCTTTTCTATGTGTATCCATTATTTTTTATTAAATTCTAGACATAAATAATTTTATATAAAAATGATAAATATTTAAAATCACTTGTAAGTAATTGATTACATTAATTTGAACTTATCTCAAACATTTATATGCAACTCATTTATTTTACGCGCGATCATATATTTCAATAAACGATTATACTACCCAGTCTGAACTTCCTGTGTAAATTTGGGCACTTCTCAAAAAATCTCCCTGTATAATAAATATTTAAATTTACCCTTTCCAGAATTGGACCGAAACATATGCTGTTTGGTCACCCCTCGGTACATACTTGGCAACATTCCACTGGAGAGGTGTTGCCTTGTGGGCTGGGCCTAAATTCTCCCAGTTCCAAAAGTTCTTCCATCCCGAGGCGAGGTTCATCTCGTTTTCGCCATGCGAGAACTACATTGTCACCTTTTCACCGAGCAGTGATAGAGGTGATGATAAGAAGCTGATAATTTGGGATATCAGGTTTGTTCCATTACTCCGTTAATAATGTTTACCTGCAATTGGCTTCAACAACAATCAATCTGGCATTTTAAAAGAACATATAACTGCTAATGTTCCTTAAATTTCTTTCCCTGTGTAATCTGGAATATTATGTTTTTTAGAACTGGGCAAGAGAAACGTAGTTTTCCACCACCAGACGAGTACGTCACGTGGCCGATATTCCGCTGGAGCAAAGACGACAAATTCTTCGCCCGCCTCGGTGCTGATGTACTGTCTGTCTACGAAACCCCGGGCTTCGGCCTTCTCGATAAAAAGTCCATCAAGATCACAGGGATAAGGTAAAATTTTATTATGATGTTGATTGTAGTCAAATGTAATGTCTGTTTTAAAAGTGTGATCTGATAAAAAGTTCAAATTCTTGATGAATGTGAAATGAAACACTATGAAAAAAGAAAAGTTAATGAACATTACACATACTGTTTTGTTCTTCAGGGATTTCAGCTGGTCACCAACAGATAACGTGTTGGCATATTGGGTGGCTGAAGACAAAGACGTGCCAGCCCGTGTAACATTGTTAGAGCTACCCAACCGCACTGAAATTCGCTCTAAGAACTTATTCTCCGTCGCTGACTGCAAGATTCACTTATTGAAGAAGTATATTGAAGTTCATGACCATGGACTCTGTAAATGAAGCGCAATTAAAAAATTATAACGTTAATAAAGTTAACGTGAAAATATGTAGAAAAAGTTAATATTTACAATGTTAACTTTTCCTAAATGTTTTTATTTAAAGACTTTATATTTTTAAGTTAAAGACGTCTTCGCTTTCAACGTAATTGAAAGCGAAAACGTCTTAATTTTATTTAACAATTACCTGTGCCCGCGACTTCGTACGCGTGGATTTCAAAATAAAAAAAAGTTCTAAAATAAAAGTAGCCTAAGCTACTCCTTATTACGTCAGCTATCTGTCAGTGAAAGTCTCTTCCAAATCGTTCCAGCCGTTACAGAGATTAGCCGGAACAAACAGACAGACAAAAATTGTAAAAAAAATATTTTGGTATATATATGGTGTATACATCCATACGCATTTAGTAAAAAGCGGTTATTTTAATATTACAAACAAACACTCCAATTTTATTTATCTGTATAGATTAACAGTAATTCTCTTTTCTAAAAAAGCCTCAGAAACTCTCCCTGATAAGTTTCTAAGGCCATTTGCTCTTTTGTGACTAGTCTTTAAGGTACAAGTCATTGATTTTTGAGGTTGTGGTACATTCATGATTGTGCTGGCCCATTAGTTTGAGTCTTAAAAGTATGAAACTAATCCTTGCTATCATACTTTCCTTCACAGATGTCCGGCATTGAGTGGGATCCAACCGGTCGATATGTCGTTACAGGGGTGTCGTCACTCAAGTGCAAAATGGACTGTGGCTACTACATCCGCTCCTTCCAGGGCAAGGTCATCAAGAGGTAATGTACCAAACATTTGGATAAGAATCAAGTCAACTGTTAAAATTTGTAGAAAAGTTTTTCGCAGCTGTGGGAAACAAACCCACGTCTTCGGGATTCGCGCCCCGACGCTCTAGCCATTGAGCTAATCAACTACTAATACTCTATAAAAATTTAAAATTATCAAGTCTGGTTTATAATAGACTTTCGACCATAAAAGCTTTATTGTCCTATTGATACTAATATGGACGAATACAAAGACTGTAAAACACGATTTACAAAATAAAGAAAATAGATGCGACTTTTCTTTAGGTATTAACCAAAACTTACCAGTTGTAAAGCCTAAAGAAAAACCTTTGGGGCAGAAAGGTTCTTTTGGGGCAAAAGGTTTTACTGTCTAGCGTTTGACTCTACTAACTGTGTGATGAATAAACACTGTAAAAGCTTTACCACTATTTTTTCGGAAGCAAACAGACAAAGTGATGCTGACATTTCTAATGATAGGCTAATCTCTGAAAATAAAAAATCATGAACAATCGCTAATCTACTCGTACAATAGTAGGTACAATAGTGGAAGGATAGTTATTAAATTTTTTGCTCACATTGTACATAAATACTATAGTAAAGTAAAGTAAGTAACAGCCTATACATGTCCCACTGCTGGGCAAAGGCCTCCTTTATACAGAGGGTATTAGGGCATAGTCCACCACGTGGCCCCACTGCGGATTGGCGGACTGCACATTCTTCTATACCTTATAAATATTATAAGCTATAGAAAATGGAGTAATTTTAACCAAATGGCTTATCACTTGTCTGTCTGTTCTATAGGAACTGGTCGCCAAGCGCACAGAGCAGATGAAGAAGCACGTGGAGTACAGAGAAGCGAAGAAGGAGGAGTGGGCTGAGCAGAAGCCGCGCAGGCTTGAGCTTAGAAACTGTATGTATTCCTATTTCAATGTGCTTATTCAACTGTAACACTGGTAATTGGCCAGAATCAATCAAGCAGTAGTGGTCTGTCCATTCCGCAAGGCATTAATTCATGAAAGATTATAATTAGATTCCATAATATTAAAAAGTACTTGCACACTGGTTGGATAATGATTATTTTTGGAGATTTGTAAATTTAATGTTCTATATTTATGACATCTACAATAGCTACTAAAAATAGATTGTTCGACAAATAGCAGAGGAACTAAATTATTGGCCTTCGCTCACATTTATACACAACTATTGTCTCATTTTTCCGTCCTTCTCGATTTTCGCCGTATTTGTGATATAAAGTGTGTTATATCGTTTTTAAACCCCAACGATTAAGAGGGGTGTTACAATTGACGTTTCCGTCTGTGTATCTGTGTGTCTGTCTGCTTTGCTATTTTTAACTTATGAACGAATGGACCGGTTATGTTGCGTTTTTTTTTTGTTTTAAATTTGACGTGACAGATGGTTCCAGCTATAACTTTATTTCTTTTGTGTATCTGACACACGGGTTCGATGCAATTTATAATTTCATACCATTTCCTCAGACGTCGACACCGACGGCCTGGACACCGACCAAGCGAACACTGTGGAGGAAGTAGTTGAATTCTTTGTGAAAGAGGAACAGACCGTCATCGAGTAGTCGCCATCGGCACCACGTCGGCGGGCGGCTCCCGCCCGCCTTTACAATAAAGAGAGAAATTGCGAACAGTTTTTTTGTGCCCACACCCCACAATACGCTAACTATATTCAGTCACAAACAACGTTTTTATATACGAGACTATTACGCCATGTTCCGTGTAAGATTTGGTTTTATAAATTATACAATAGGCAATGTTTATAGAGATCGTATTAAATCGATATGTTTCAAATGGACGTTGGCTTTTTAATACCCATTTTGTTCCGTTTGTGTTTTCCTTGGTGGCGGATTGGGGAGTGAATGGATCTGTACTGGAGAGCGATATCTTGAATATTAGCTTTATTCTCCATATATCTGATATAGAGCTTACTATAAGTTCTGAATAAATGAAATGTGAACGTGTGAAGTTTATAAAGCCCGTTAAGTAAAGAAATTTCGTGGACAATTTCAATAACCTTAATTTTAAGTTACTCGCAAGACGAAACTGTCGGCTATTTTGAAAATTGTTTAATGAAAATATACTCGTGTGTTGTGTCGATAAAAATAATACTAGCGAAGTTTTATTATTTCAAGCTTTTACCAATTTCTAACTTGGACTACAGTCATTTTTATATTCTCCGGATAAAAGGCATTGTTAATGACGTACAGGTTGGGAGGTTGATCTCCCTTTTAATCAGCCGTTTAGCTTAGCGGTTAAAGCGTCAGGCTGCGAATGCCGAAGACGTGGGTTCGATTCCCGCACCGGCGACAATCTTTTCCTACTTTTTCTACATATTTTAAACTCCCCCGCCTTACCCCACATTCTAGCTACTTCGCTCAGTTTCCTGTTTATTTTTTCCTCATAAATATTAAGGAGGTCGTCCTAGATATGGTGTGTTCCTCCTAATCGACATATAGTTAAACAATAACATGTATTATTTTTTAATGTAAAATTCGACTTTTCATAAGAACACGCAAGCGTCTTTAAAAATTTGAAGTGCATTTGAATAAAAAAGCTGAGAGCTTAAATGCTAGAATTACGCTCTATGTGTACAGACCTGTTCTAAATTCAAATTGGGTATGGTATAGATTAGGATAGACGCAGATAATTATTTCGTTCAAACACACTGTCGAGCACCTTGAATCTTCGCCAGGATCATAGCCAATGAGATCATTCAATATTTTTCCCTAAATGGGATATCCCCAGTTTTGCTATTCGAGCAGTTTATATCCTGGGCGACTAAGGATCACCAAGAATTTTTTTAACGAGTTTAAAATAGTGTTTGTTGCTTCTCAGATACTTGAAAATGTTGTGTATTTGTATAAAAATAAGAATGAATTTTCATGACATGGTAATGTGCATGATTAGGAAAAACAAATTAATTCTACCCACGTCTAGACTGCGTAGAATAAGTAATTATTTTATGGGAGAAAGTAGTTCTTAAAACAAAACCCAGAAAACGTTCAAAATGTGTCAATTGCTAAATTTAAAAAAAAAATGTGTGCGTGTACTAGCGTACACTCGTAAGAAGTGAAACTTTTTTATGACGTTATTTTTCAAAAAATAATATACTATTTGCAACTTTACAGAAATTGGTTAAATAAAGTTAAATTAGATAAAGTTTAATAAAAGGCTTTTTTTATCATAGACATAAATACAAATTCTACAATTATTTCATTTTAGCTTTGTATAATATTTAGTTTCTTATTTGTAATACATAGGTGGCGTTAGTAATAAATTAAAACACACTATGGTTTGACCGTTGTAATTAGTATGCGGGTCCGCAAAATTGTTGATTAAAAAACTTGCAACGTGAACCTTGTTTATGTAAATTAACCTCACGGACCCAAAATACAACCGCTTTGAATTTGTACATGGTCCTTCGTTGACGGATAGTCAGCCAGTGAGTACAAGGCAGACATTCGACTCGCGCGCGAGTGCTGCTATGGTAACTGAAATACGAAATATATTGTTTACATTTTAGAATTAGAATTAAAATAAACCCTTTGATTTTGCTGATCACTTTAATATAACATATATATATATATATATATATATATATATATTGCTATGAACACACAAAGAAGATAAAAAAAGATGGCGCGTAACGGAAAAATGTTACACTAAATTTTTTTCCAACCCCGATAAAGAAGTTTCACTTCAAAAAAACTATTTTAAGGTATGTTTGTGTTATGGGCAAGTAAGTGGACTTTAATATGTATATTGTAAACACGTTTCTTTGTCGTATATTGGTATAAAAAAATGTCTCACAGTTTCCTTCGCCGGTTCTTCTCAGGTCTTGGCTTTTATTTCCGAACCGGATGTAGTGCTTTGAAAATCAATGAATAAGTGTTATGTTTCTATGTTGAACAAATATATATTTTGCTTTGAAGTTAAGTATCACTACGAATCATATGGTAAATGTCTGAAATCATCTGTCTTAAAATATTGTAGGGCCACGCAACAGCTTTTGCTGTTGCACGAATGGGCAGGCTCGTCCGGGGAAGTACCACGGGAATATTAACGTGAAGTGAAAGTAGGTATAATACTTATACGCATTGGCGTATCTAGAATTATTTTTCAGGGTGGGCCCCAGGCCCTTTACTACAAGAAATAAATTTAACACTATATTCGTTGCATTAAAAAAGTAGTAGTTCGTTATCGTTAATAATTTTTGTTAATTTATAATAGTAGTATTAACTAATTAGTAATTAGTACGTTGTGTATTCACAAGTAAATAAACGGAATGTGTTCTAAAATAGTATGTAATAAAAACTAACTATGTAGTACATAGATTTTTCTGCTGTAGATAATTATTTGATTTTTTATGAAGTTTCTTAGGTAGCCTAGAATTTCGAATCAGTAACCCAAAATTGGGTGGGCATGGCATGGCCCACCCGGCGCCCCTCCTATATACGCCTATGCTTATTCTGGTGCTATATCTGGTGAATGAGGTAGTCGGGGCCCAATTCTTGTTCAATTCTTCTTCAATTACGGTTCAGATGACTATGCGCGGTAGTATTCACTAAACATCAGGAGAACCGCCTGCTCGCTTGGCTACTTATCACATAAGACAAGAACACAAGTCCGTTATGTAAAAGGTGCCCAATGCTGAGCTCGCCGTGTAATACGAATTGGCTTTTCAGACTTACAGCACCTAGTTATTACCGGTATCATTAGAGACTTCAACTACAAAAGAAACCACTCAAATAGTCTTTAGAAAGTCTGCTCTGCCTCAGGGTCTATACTCTCTGGTAGGCTTGGCTTAGGGCTTAGGGCCAGAGGGTGTGGGCTCGATCCCCACTATTCTATTGTAATAAATATTCTGTGATGAATGTAGTGATTTTCCAGTGTCTGGGTGTTTATATATGTATAGTATGTATTTATTTATAAAAGAAAATTATGTTTCAAGTATGTTTATCAATTATCTAGAACCCATAGTACAAGCGTTGCTTAGTTTGGGACTAGAGAATGTTGTAAAAAGTGTCCTTATTAATATTACATTACATGAGTTTACATTTAAGAGTATTTAATATGATATTATCGGTTCCGATACTGTACGACCTTGGCCTTGAGTGTCGGAAGCCGCCAGAAAAGTTATGATATTAGGTTACCTTTCCCGCCAACGCTTGCCAAGACGGCGTTATTCATCTTACTTAAATTTGGAAACTCTCCAAAACTGGCAAAATTTACGTAAAAAAAAGTTCGGTAGTATAGATTTGTTTCATATAAAGTTGAGGTTTAAATTATTTATGATTATTAAATGCATCAACTGTACAGAACAATAAACCAATCCCTTACATTTTATGGAACGAAATATGTTCCCAGTATTAAAATGCTAACTAAATTACATATTGTCTAATAACGTTTGTTTATATACTTGTAAAAAGTGGTTGACAAGTATGTAATGAAAGCTAATAATACTACCCGATATAGAATAATATTCGATAGAATATAAGTACGATAGTGTTCACAAAGTTCCCATGTTATAGCTATATATAGATATCTATATATTTGTAGCGTAAATCTAGGCCTTCATTTTTTTCAAACAAGTTATATATTTAAGAAACTAAAAAATTATTTTGTAGTCGAAACAGAGAAATTTGGTACAAGTGGATATGGAGTTAGAATATTTTAAAGAAATCTAAGAAGGATTGAGTAATTTGATACTTTGACAGTTTCTCAGGTTATATGGAAATGAAATTAATGGTGATCGATTATCGCTCCTGAAGAACATTCTAAACAGTTGTTGCGGATGTTGTGGTTACGGTTTTTATTAAATAGTCATTCAAAATCATTGTGGTTATTAATAATCTTCTTTTGTATTAGTCCAACTATTTTTTTTTTTACGTCCAACTAACTTAAATTTCACAGCAACAGAATGTGTGGACGCGTATAAGTATAATTACATTTACTTATTTTATTTATGTTGGACACATATTTTGGACATATAAACATGAGAAATATAACATATTGAAAAATATAATTGAAGGAAAAATAGAAGGAAAACGGGGAAGAGGACGAAGACGAATGTGGAGTGACAATGTGGAGACGAATGTGGAGTGACAATTTGAAAAAATGGACAGACATCAGGGACGCCGTCAGTCTTTGTAGATTGGCGCAGAATAGAGAAGAGTTCCGTGTGGTGGTCCGGCATCCGATAGGATAAGGCACCCCAGTGGAAGAAGTGCACGCGTGAATGGAGCCTTAGCCTATGGTATAGTAAAGTGCGGACTCGGCCTAGTCATAAGGTATATTCGATATTGTTGGGTATGGCTTCCCTACTACAGGGACTCGACGAGAACTTATAGCGCTTTTTTATAATTCACATATTTTTTAATACTTCTTAGGTACTCATGTTTCCTACTGAACTGGTACGAGAGTCTGGACTATAAACCACCTAACATTCTTGTATCGTTATGATATTTCTTACGAAAAAATGGTGGAAGACGAATGGAAAAAGGTTTTTTATATGAAAAGGTGGTTTTATATGGAACAGCCTATCCGATCTTACGTGATC